AATCTTGATGGCTTTCAAGTTTTGGCAATTATGAATAAAACTGCTGTAAATATCTGTGTGAAAGTTTTTATGTGAACATGAGTTTTCAGCTCCTTTGGGTAAATGCCAAGGAGCACACTTGCTGGATAGTATGATAAGAGCATGTTTAATTTGATAAGAGCGCATGCAGTGAATGAGAGTTCCTGCTCTTCCACATTCTCGCTAGCATCTGGCATTGTCGGTGTTCTGGATCTCGGCCATTCTCATAAGTATGTCAGTCATTTATTTTCACTAGCCAGAGTTTACGAAGCAGCAGCGCATTTGTGGATTTTCCTGTTTTTCCTGGAAATCTCAAAAATATTCAAAATTGAGGCTAAAGCTGCACAAGTGTAGAAATTCCTCTGAAAACACAATGTCGTTGCATTGTAGAAATGACAATTGTCAGCATATTGTCAGTAGTGAGAGAGTGTGATGTCAGTGTGTGCATGTCAGTTAATTTTTTTGTTTAAGGACTATCCTAGACAGGAGATACATTGCTTGTCCCACTTCTTTATGTAATATGATAGTCTATAACAGACTCAATAAAATGCTTTTAGACAACAGTACTTGTTTATTAAACATGAAATGTGTTGTGTTGATGTGCTTAGTCATGTCCAACTGTTTGCGACCTCACAAACTGTAGCCCACCAGCCTTTTCTGTCCGTGAGATTATCTAGGCATGAACACTGGAGTGGGTTGCCATTTCCTTCTCCAGGGAATCTTCCCGACTCAGGGATCAAACCTGTGTTTCTTGCGTCTCCTGTACTGGAAGGTGGATTCTTTACCACTAGTGCCTCCTGGAAATATCTTCACAAAAATTAAAGGTGATTTGAGGTCCAGAGAATGCACTTGGGAAATACTTATTTATGTATCCAAATATTTGAAAATTCTTCCAGAATCTAGATCCTTGCAATAAACTACCTTAAAAAAATATTGCTATGTGGACAGGCAGTTAAATTGCCATATATGGTGATAATGGAATGTTTTACACTTTTATTATCCAATAGAAATATAAAGTGAGAAACATGTAATTTAAAATTTTCTAATAACATTAATAATACGAAAAAGAAACAGTAGATTAAATTAATTTTAATATTATATTTTATTTAATGTGACATTAAAATATTATTTCAATGTGAGTCAATATGAACAATTACTGAGATTTTTATTCTTTTTGTAGTAGGTTTTCAAATACTGTGTTATTGAATGAAGTGTGTATTTTACAGTTCTACCACATTTCAATTTGGACTAGCCACATTTCTTTTTTTTTTTTTTTTCATTTATTTTTATTAGCTGGAGGCTAATTACTTTACATCATTGCAGTGGTTTTTGTCATACATTGAAATGAATTAGCCATGGATTTACATGTATTCCCCATCCCGGTCCCCCCTCCCACCTCCCTCTCCACCCGATCCCTCTGGGTCTTCCCAGTGCACCAGGCCCGAGCACTTGTCTCATGCACCCAACCTGGGCTGGTGATCTGTTTCACCCTAGATAATATACGTGTTTCGATGCTGTTCTCTTGAAACATCGCACCCTCGCCTTCTCCCAGAGTCCACAAGTCCGTTCTATACATCGGAGTCTCTTTTTCTGTTTTGCATATAGGGTTATCGTTACCATCTTTCTAAATTCCATATATATGTGTTAGTATACTGTAATGGTCTTTATCTTTCTGGCTTACTTCGCTCTGTATAATGGGCTCCAGTTTCATCCATCTCATTAGAACTGATTCAAATGAATTCTTTTTAATGGCTGAGTAATATTCCATGGTGTATATGTACCACAGCTTCCTCATCCATTCGTCTGCTGATGGGCATCTAGGTTGCTTCCATGTCCTGGCTATTATAAACAGTGCTGCGATGAACATTGGGGTGCACGTGTCTCTTTCAGATCTGGTTTCCTCAGTGTGTATGCCCAGAAGTGGGATTGCTGGGTCATATGGCAGTTCTATTTCCAGCTTTTTAAGAAATCTCCACACTGTTTTCCATAGTGGCTGTACTAATTTGCATTCCCACCAACAATGTAAGAGGGTTCCATTTTCTCCACACCCTCTCCAGCATTTATTGCTTGTAGACTTTTGGATAGCAGCCATCCTGACTGGTGTGTAATGGTACCTCATTGTGGTTTTGATTTGCATTTCTCTGATAATGAGTGATGTTGAGCATCTTTTCATGTGTTTGTTAGCCATCTGTATGTCTTCCTTGGAGAAATTGGACTAGCCACATTTCAAGTGCTCTTGGACAGCACAGTTCTATTATTCCCCAGTCCTGTGTGATTTTCTGAATCATCTGGAGACAAGAAAATCAGTGTGTTGCTAAAATAATGTCCAAATGCTCTGGGCTGGTACACACCATATGTCATTACTATCATATTTTCGGGAGTCAGTCCATTAAAAGTAATAGCTGTATCTGAACAGCAGCCTTCTACTACTTGCTCAGGGTTATGAGACATTGTCTCTTGAATAAGATGTGTAATTGGTTTTGTGTTAAATAGAATTCTTCCTTTGGAATCCTCTACTTTCTGCAGGAACTCCTGCATATTTCAGGCAGACTGCTAAGCTGCGTATCTTCTGATAAGTTCCAAATCACACTTTGATTTGCGTACTTTTCGGGCTTATTTCCATGGAGAAGGAAATGGCAACTCATTCCAGTATTCTTGCCTGGAGAATCCCATGGACAGAGGAGCCTGGTGGGCTCCAGTGCACAGGGTCCCAGAGTTAGACACATCTGAGTGACTTAGCACGCATGCATGCAGACTTATTCGGAAGTCTGTAATGCTTTTCATAGCCTCCATAGTTAAAGCAGCTCCTTCTACTGTTATGAAATCAAGGTTACCAGATGTCACAGGGTGGCCCAGACAGAAGGGCTGAGATACATCCTTAGTAAACTGAATATACTCTTGAGTTTTCAGTGACAGCAAATATGGTGGGATGTGCAAGAAAGAACCAGTTGTGGCTGTTGCTGTGCTTTCCAGAGACATATTTGTACATTTTCCTCATCTGTGTCCACGTGTCATTTTTTATCTTAGACCATTGTTTTTCATTTTTAATATTATGGTGCTCTGCTTTGTCACAGTGTTTGGTATACGATTCTTTGAGTACCCAGTGATGCCATTGGGTTTTCATGGATGATACAGAAAATGCAGATACTTTTACTAAGTTCCATGTGCTGCACTTCTGAAATATTTAAGAGATCTTTTCTGTTAGGTGGGCGAAGTGATGGTGCTCATCATGGTCTTGAGTTTTCCCTGTGTCAACTGGTAATTTGCCCAAACATAGATATCACAATGCAGCAAATGCTCCCAACCAGTACAGCTTTAAAAAATTATATGTTCATAACGGAAACCATCTTTCAGGCATTGAGAACAATACATGCCTCAGTTGGGATTCCTGTCACCCATGTGGTCCAGAGCTGGCAGTCTTGCTTCCTGCTGCAGGAGGCCTCTCCTCCATGGTTTTGAGAAGGGGGTGATCTGTTGTATCAGCCATGGGTGCCATTGTATCACACCCAGGATGCTGTGAGTTTGAGATGCTCTAGAAGTTCAGGGCATCTAAGAATGTCAGCCAATACTAAAAGTGACAGTGAGCATAGGTTGAGCCACAGATGGCTCCAGTGTTGACCAGACTTCAACACTCAGAAAAGAATAATTCAAAATTTAGTTTTACATCATGGTTATGTATTATGTTAATTTGTATTAGATCCTTTTCAAGACTTTTGCTTTTTTACTTACAATATTCAGTTTAGTATTTTACTTAAAATCTCCAAAGTTTTTTTAATTTCTCACCCTCTGAAATCTTCAAACATTTTATTATCCACAGAACTTTCAAAAAATACCCAGATATTTTTTCAACCTCTGTGCCATATGCTTTTGTGGACATATGTATATTTTATCAGAGTATCTTCTTTCTATCACAGTCTTTAAGAATTAAAGCTACTCAGTTGTGACTTACACATACCACCTGTGAAGCTTATGAAAATGCACCTCTTTCTGATATCAGTGGGACTTTTTTCCCCTATATTAAGCCTGTTTCAGTGTATCTTTTTTCTTTTTTTTTTTGTTCTTTTAAAATTTTTTCATTATTTATTTTTTGTTGAAGTATAGTTGATTTATAGTGTTGTTAGTTGCAAGTATACAACCAAGTGATTCAGGTTTTTAAAAAAATATTTATTTATTTCGCTGTACTAGGTCTTAGTTGCAGCATGTGGGATCTAGTTTCCCAAGCAGCAATTGAACCTGAGCTCCTTGAATTTTGGGAGTGCAAAGGCTTAGCCCTGGACCACCAGGGACATCCCATCAGTTTACATACATATGTATGTACATGTATATTCTTTATCAGACTCTTTTCCTATATAGGTTATTACAAAATATTGAGTATAGTCCAGTACTATATAGTATGTCTTTGTTGGTTATCTGTTTTATGTATAGTAATGTTTATATGTTAGTCGCTCACTCATGTCCAACTCTTTGCGACCCCATGGACTGTAGCCTGCCAGGCTCCTCTGTCCATGGAATTCTCTAGGCAAATATACTGGCGTGGATTGCCAATTCCTTCTCCAGATGACTTTCCCAACCCAGGGATCGAACCTGGGTCTCTCACATTGCAGGCAGATTCTTTACCATCTGAGCCACCAGCCCAAATTCCTAATTTTCATTGGGACTTTTTGATCAGCAAAGCAATATGACATTTGAGGTCTTACTGTTATCTTAGATTTTAATGTTCTTAAAATATGATGACCAGTAATTTCTAACATATAGTCCAATGAAGAAAATTCTACTGGATTAATACTCATGTAGTACAAATTGCAAATAGTATCAAAATATTGGTATTTTGTTTGATCAGTTTTTACATATGCCCTGAAAGAACCTTTAATGTGCTAAATTCTATGTAATTAATATCCATTGAAGTACTTTAAGTGTTCTTAAAGAATTCCAAAAGGGAAATATGAATTTTTCTATTTTTTATGTCTTTTCTCACATTTCAGATGCAACAGCTTGAGAGACAAGTTATTGATGCTGAGCGTCAAGCAGAAAAAGCTTTTCAACAGGTAGGGTATAGTTTTGGTTAAAACAATTTTTTTTTGCCTCTACCAATGTAAGCATTGTTTTGCCCAAAATAATCTTGAAAATAGTTTTCAGCTGTCCTCTTCATTTTGTAATTTTTACTGTTTGTGAGCTAGCTCCATAGAGAAAATGTAGACTCTGACTTTGTTTTGCCCCTTAACAAATTTTCAAAAGGTCACAAATGCTTCTATTAGGAAGTTTTACTTATTAAAAAAACTCAAATATGAATTTTATGGTTATGCCTGACCATAATGACATTTTATGTATAAAGATGTTCATGGCAGCTTTAGATATAGTAATAAAGAGTTGGAAATAATATGACTGCAATATTATAGGAGAATGAATTAGTAAACTGTATCTATTCCATGAAATATTAAACAACCATTAAAAATAACGATTGGTGGTGGTGGTTTCGTCCCTAAGTTGGGTCTAACTCTTGTGACCCCGTGGACTGTAGCCTGCCAGGCTTCTCTGTCCATAGGATTTTCCAGGCAAGAATACTGGGGTGGGTTGCCATCTCCTTCTCCAGGGCATCTTCATGACCCAGGAATCAAACCTGGGTCTCCTGCATTGCACAGATTCTTTACTGACTGAGCCAATGTGAAAAGATGTTTAGAGTTATATTGGGGAAAATATATACAGACTTTTGTATTTAACATGTTAATAGATGTGGGGGCAGGGTGAGTCAAACCTGAGTTTAAAAAAAGCTGTTAGGAAACACCAAAATTTAACAGGAGTTATAATTATAGATGGAATTATAGATGATTGTTTCCTTCTTGTATATCCTCATACTTTATAGTTTTTGGTTCTGGTACTACTTTTACTCTGAAAAAATAAAGTTTTGATGAGTCACTTAGCCCTTCCTAGGCCTTGCCCACAGTGAAATGAGTGGTTTGGATGAGCCTGCCAGCCTTAAAATTTGCCTAAGGAGCATACATTGATAAATTCACATTTTATGAAAAGATCTCTGTCAGATTCAGTCAAGTCAAGAATTTCAGAAGTCTTAAGTACAAAACTGTTTCTTCTCAGAAGAGTATATTAAATTTCTTACACTTGCTCTAGGTTTGTTATGTTTGTTTCTTCAACTTGACTACTACCAAATCTTATTTTCATCTAAAAGATTTAATTTTACACAGTAGATTGTTTTAGTGGTCTGTCTAACTTAACCCAATTTAACCTAATCCTAGGTTTTCTTTTTGCTAAAAAATAATTTTATTAATTAATTTTGCTTTTGGCTGTGCTGAGTCTGTTGCGGCGAGCGGCGGCTACTCTCTGGCTGGGGTGCCCGCGTTCTCATTGTGATGGTTGCTCTTGTTGCAGAGCACAGGCTCTGGGGCGTGCAGGCTTCAGTGTTTGTGGCTCCCGGGCTCTGGAAGACAGGCCCAATAGTTGTGCATGGGTTTAGTTGCTCCGCGGCACGTGGGATCTTCCCGAATCAGAGATCCAACTCGTCTCCTGCATTGGCAGGTAGATTTTTTTTTACTGCTGAGCCACCAGGGAAGCCCCCTTAATTTTCTTAAATTAATTATACTTGAAAATAAGATCTTTAAACTTTATTATGCAAAATCCAGCCACTGTAAGAGTAGAGAAAATAGATAACGAACCCCCATCATCAATTCACCCACTCCTGTGTTCTCGCCTGGAGAATCCCAGGGACAGGGGAGCCTGGTGGGCTGCCGTCTATGGGGTCGCACAGAGTCGGACACGACTGACGCGACTTAGCAGCAGCAGCAGCAGCAACTTCAGCAATTAGTTGACTCACAGCAAGTCTATACCCCCACCCACTTTTTGCCTCCCTATCCCTATACAAGGTTATTTTGGAACAAATCTCAGATAGCATATCATTCTACCTGCCTGTTTCAGCATCCCATCTAAAAATAAAGACTTAAAAGTCATAACTGCAGGTACCATCACCTCACCAAAAAGTTAGCCATAATTCTTTAAAACCTCAAATGTAGATATTGATATAAGTACTAGTAGTAAATGGTAAGGATGTAAGCTGTGCTTGGTGTTTTGTATTTTATATTCCTTAGCTGATGGGACCAAGTAGTAATTACTTATATCTAGAAAAAGCCAATAATTAACAGTAAAGTCATTAAAGGCCACTTATATTCTAAGAGAAAAATTGTTGTGTTTACGTCATTCTCTGTCACTCTATGCATGCGTGCTAAGTCGCTTCAGTCGTGTCCGTCTTGGTTTCAGTCGTGTCCGTCTTGGTTTCAGTCGTGTCCATCTCTGCAACCCTATGACTGTAGCCCGCCAGGCTCCTCTGTCCATGGGATTCTCCAGGCAAGAATACTGGAGTGGGTTGCCATGCCCTCCTCCAGGGGATCTTCCCGACTCAGGGATCGATCCCATTTCTCTTATGTTTCCTGCATTGGTAATTGGCTTCTTTACCTCTAGTGCCACCTGGGGAGCCCCTGTCACTCTGTACCAAATGTCTTTTTCTTAGTGGGCCTTTTACGTGTGTCGCAGTTCAGCCTGAAGCCTTGCAGAACATATTTGTCCTTTTGTCAGCCTCTCTAACTTCCACGTCTCCTTCACTGTCTTTCCCTGACTTTGTCCTTTCCTGGTGACATCCCTCTTGATTGCTGCACTCATGGCTATCTCCATACATCTCTGTCTGTTCTGCTACTTTTCCTTTCCCTTCCTTTCCCTTTCCTTCCCTTCCCTTCCCTTTTTCCCCTTTAACTGCCTGTATTATAGGAAAAAAAGAAAGAAAGATAGTTTTGTTTTGCCTTTTCCTAAGTTAACTTTCTAAATTGATATATGCAGCAAATTTATTTAGTTCTGAAAATTAAATTAAATATCTTTTTTTTTTTTAATTTGTGGTTTTAACTTTCCCCCTGTTTGGTTCACTGGATCTTGAAAGAAAAAAGGAATCCTTATTCCCAATTTAAAGAAAGGAAACCATGGCAATTTGTAGCCATCAGTACCCAGCTCCTGGTCTTAAGAAGTTAACAAGAAGAATTTCTTATTTGAAGTTGTCCTTTGAGGATATTGGGCTTCCTGGTGGCTCAGCTGGTAAAGAATCCACCTGCAATGGGTTCGATCCCTGGGTTGGGAAGATCCCCTGGAGAAGGGAATGGCTACCTATTCCAGTATTCTGGCCTGGAGAACTCCGTGGACTGTGTAGTCCGTGGGGTCACAAAGAGTTGGACACGACTGAGTGACTTTCACTTTGAGGATATCAAGTATAAAATTATTTCATTCTATGTGCCACATTTTGATGGAAAATTATATAATTTTATAAAATTATAAAATTTTAGGGAAAATTATTGGTTATTTTAGATACACTGCCTTAAAGTAACAGTACTAATGCCCCCCGCCCCCACCCCCACCCGGGTGAAAAAGTCAATAGTTATCTCCCAGAGTTTCCATATAATCAATCAGTAGATATTGCTTTTTGTCATAACACTTTAAATTTATACAGTACCTATTTTGTTATGCTTCAGAAGAATTTTTGGCTTAAATATTTCATAATGAATCTGAAAGTTAACAGGAAATATAAACAGAGAGCAAGTTAATTCTAAGGCACTGATTATATTACCTTTTTTTTTTGCCTTTATTTTTGCCTTAGTCTTACTTTGTTAAGACTAAGTAAATATTATTAACTTAGAGTAACTGAGTCTTTTGCTCTCTTCAACAGTTTCCATGGGACTGTGGCCTATCTGCTGTTTATGTTGCTTAAATCCAGCTTATCCTTTGTCATTGAGCCATATCCTAAGACTTACACTGTATTTATATTAACCTAGAAAGAATGTTTCCCCACAAAAAGCAATTGTCAGCTGCAGCCAGCTCAACTCTACCCTTTAACTTTGTACATTTTTTCCCTGGTGTATTAAATGTGTGGGCTTCACCTGCATAACCATCAAATAAATTGCTGATAGAAAAAAGAATCACACATTCTTCCAGAGAAATCCTGGCAATGTTGTAGTACCTCTTTATTGTTGTTGTTCATAAATTGTGAAAGCAGTTATGTGCAAATCAACCCAGTACTGTTTATGAGAAATCTAGTGAGGCAGAAAAGAAGCAAACAGCACATTTGGGAGATACTGATATACAGGATCCCTTCTCAACTATCTGATTAGGCGGCGGTATGCACGCATGTGTGTGTGGTAAGTCCCTCTAGTCGTCCCACCCTTTGTGGCCCCATGGACTGCAGCCCACCAGGCTCCTCTGTCCTTGGGATTCTCCAGGCAGGAATACTGGAGTGGGCTGCCGTGCCCTCCTCCAGGGGGTCTTCATGACTCAGGGATTGACCCCGTGTCTCTTGTCTCCTACATTGGCAGATGGGTTCTTTACCACTAGGGCCACCTGGTACAATCTAATACACTAATTTATGCTAACCAAAGAGGAGTGGATAATTTCTCCTGTAGAAACTTTGTCTTTTCAGTTATGTCTTTAGGACCCAGTCCCTTGCCTGTGTTTGATTCAGTTTTGGTAGGAGTTAGATTTAAATTTCCTTCTAGTATGTGGGCTAATCTACTTTTCTTACAGTTGGTTCTTAGCATCCAAGTCATTTCTGGTTCTTAATAAATAACTACTCAATCATCCTAATATTTAGGACCATGTAATGATTTGCTTCATTATATGGAAAACTATTTAACAGTGTCCCTTTTCACTTTCACTGAGAATGGGTCTGGCCTTACTACATAAATTATGGAGCACTCTGCTGAAAAAACTGTTTAAAATAGGATTAGAATGATTAATTATTGCAATAATTTTGTATAACTGGAAGATAGTATGGGATTCAAATTACCCTTAACCATTTCTTTGTTGTATTTTGGAATGATTAAGTCTCTTTGTCACATAATTGCAATACTTACATAGGAATAGAAACTTACACTTCCCACTCAAAAATGTAGTCACATGTTGAGTACCTGTAGTGGGAGAAGAAGGGATGAGGCTAGAGGTGGGAAAAGGGAAATATTGATATGGATAGTTACAGTGGGAACAATATTTGCAGCTTCTGCTTTCTCCAGTATAGGCAAGAAAATGGAAAATATCATTAGGAGTTGTGTCAGGGTCCCCAACACTACCCTCGGGTTTGATGATTCACAGAAAGAGTCATAGAATCCTGAAAAGCTGTTATCCTAGTGGTTTCAGTTTATTTCCGTGAAAGTACAGATTAACTTCAGCAAAGGAAAAATGCACACAGGGCAGAGTCCAGGAGACACCAGGTATGAGCGTCTAGTAGTCCTCTCACAGTGGAGTTGCACAGGAATGTTCTTGATTCTTCCATCAGTGATGTAGGACAACACATATGACACATTGCCAGCCAGGATTCATCATCCATGCCTCGGTGTCCATAATTTTTATTCCATCCTACAAGACCCCCTCCCCTGGTCTGTCTTATAGGCATGGAATGCATACCCACTTTAGCTACTCAACCTCCAACCCCTCCAGAGATCAAACTGATACAGCATGGCCCATGACCCACATAAATAAAAAAGACATCAGTATAAATCACACTGTGAGCATAAACTAACTGGTGTGACCCAATATATCAGATATATAAAGAAAACCTTATCAGGAAGAAAATTCCAGGGGCTCAGAGGTTCTCTCCCAGAAGACAGGCAAGGGCAAGTTCTTCCTTTTGGAATGTACAGGGAATGTACCCCAAGCCTGCTAAATTAGCCCTTGACTGCACAAAAGCTCACCATCAAGACTGGGGAAATGGCTGAGAAGTGTGCTGAGGGGGTTGATGTAACCAGAGGCGCTCCTGAAGTAAGAGAAGGTAGCCTGAAAATACAAAGCATTCCTCACTGGAGAATATCCATATATTGATAATTGCAAGAGTTTATATAATAACTAATTTAAATTCTTTTAGTGTTTATTATTGACTGGTCTCTGAGTAGTTAAAATTTTTATATGTACTGGTGTGTTCAGTCGTGTATGACTCTTTGCAACCCCATGCAGCGTAGCCCGCCAGGCTCCTCTGTCCATGGGATTTCTGGCAAGAATACTGGAATGGGATGCCATTTCCTCCTCCAGCGGATCTTCCCGACCCAGGGGTAAAACCACATCTCCTGTGTCTCCTGCCTTGGCAGGCGATTCTTTACCACTGAGCCACCAGGGAATCATTTTTATATGATTCAAGTTAAGTGAATGGAAGAAGATCTGGCCTATTTTCTGAATACTTGTAGTAAGATATTTTTAAAGGCCGCTTTGTTTATCTGTAGGCTTCTTAGCTTTTCTGTAGACCTTCTTATTCACATTAATTGCTAAGGAAAGCTGGTGAATCTTATGGAACTTGGTTTCAACAGGACCCTTTGGTAGGAAGGTTGCCTGTAACAACTTTGTGATCTATCTCCCCAGGAGATTTTGCCACTTCTGTCAATATTTTTCTTGCCCAGGAAAGTTGTTTATCTAAAAGTCATAGTCTAATGAAACAGTTGTACAAGGCGAAGATGCAGCGAAGGAGCTCTGACTATAGGATTCATTCATAAAATGAGAACACCTTTCAAGTTGGATGTGTTTTTCAGGGAAGAAGAGTCCTCCCAAGTCATAGCTTTCCAGAACTGTAGATCTTTTCTAAGTAATAGTAGGACAGTTTTATGGGGCAGCCCAATGTCCATAGGGTGACTTACTCCAGCTTAATAAAAGGAGACTGTAGATGTAGGTCTGGTAATATTTACTTTTATTCGTATTTAGTTAATTTTGTTTTTCTGCAGTATTATGATCTATTACTTCCTCCTTGGAGAACTACCATTTTGCACTTGGCCTCTGATTTCTTTCCTTGCTCCCAAAGCTACAGAATACCCGGTGTGAAACTGACAATATGATCCTAACACTGACCTTTGGTATTTATTGTCCAGCTCTCTGTCTGGCTCTGGCTTTTTTCAGGACAACGTCTCTGAAATAGGCCTTTGTCCTTGACCTCTTGGTCTGAAGTTCCTGCAGAAAGCCTGCTATATTATGTTAAAAATCTAAATCTTAAAGTTACTTAGAATTGTCATTTGGATTGTAGAATACATTTTTTCTCCTATTTTTTTGGATCTACTTTTATTTTCATAGTTTCCAGCCATGTGAGTGGTATTTAAATAGGACAGTTTTGGCTGTTGAGTTGAATTTACATTTATACAGTGAACTCACAAATGAAACTTTGTACTCATGGTTAAAAAAACAAAACTGAACTAGCCTTAACACCTCCTTCTAGGAGTCCTCATTAATCAAGTATTTTTGAGCTTTAAGTAAGTCCATTGTGATTTTTCAGAGATGTTTTAATAACTTAAGATTTTTCATCTTAACTCTCATCTTTAATTTCTAAAATGCCCTTATATGTTTTTCTTTTTGTCCCCTATATTCTGAAACATGACTAAAATTACATGCTTACCTATTGGGAGTATATAGAATAAAAGTCTTAATATAGTGTATCGTGCCCAGTACTTTATTTTCTTTCTTACTAATATTAACATCACACGTATCTCTTCAAAGATTTTGTATACCCAGATGTGTTTTGCAGAATATCCAAGCAGAGCCAGTGTATGTTATATATTAAAGTGAAGCATAACAGCCCCTAGTCTTACAGCGATCTCTTTTGTCTTGCTTTATTTTGCCCATTAGCTTTATTGCCATCTGTAACATACTGTGTGATTTTTAGTCTTTATTGTATTTGTGATCTCTCTTACCTACTAGAAGGTAATTGCTATGCAGGTAGAGATTTGGCGGGGTGGGGGGTCTGCTTTATTAAAACTGATGTCTTCTTAGGACCTGGACTAGGCCTGGCTCTTGGCAAGTGTTCATTGAATATTTGTTAAAGTATTGAATCAGTAAATCCCCACAGAATGTATTCTCCTACCTCTATCTTGACTGTCACGCTTTTTCACTTTCTATGGCTTCATCATTGGGGTTTTAAGGTTCTTTTGTTTTCCATCGAAAATATGTATCTTTTTCACCTGAAGTTCAGCGTTTTTTCCCTAGGGTGTGTTATTATTCTAGGTCCTCCAATCTGAGTGTTACCTCACCATTCAACTTTTTTACTTGATATTCTTACTTTTTTTAAATATGAAAAAATGAGGGCTGGAAACTTTCTGACTCTATGCTTATATGATAATTTGCATATTATCATAGATCTAATTAACATGTACATTTCCTTACATGACAGCAATATTCTGAGACTCTTTTTAAAAATTAATTTATTTATTTTAATTGGAGGCTAATTACTTTACATTATTGTAGTGATTTTTGCCATACATTGACATGAATCAGCCATAGGTGTACATGTGTTCCCCATCTTGAACCCTGCTTCCACCTCCCTCCCCACACCATCCCATCCTGAGAATCTTTTATGTATCCTCATACACCTCAGAATTAACATCACTTGGGAAAATAGTCTAGTCTTTAAACTTTATAGTTGTTAAATATTAAAACTGTTCACCGTTTTCCTTTTATGATGATATCTTTTAGGAATCTATTTAATGTTAAAGTAAAATCTGAATTCAATACTATAATATATTAAGTACATGCATAGTTTTAATATTTTCTCCTCTGAATTTAGGTACAAGTTATGGAAGAGAAGTTAAAAGCAGCTAATATTCAAACCAGTGAATCAGAGACAAGGTTGTATAAAAAGTGTCAAGATCTGGAAACTCTAATACAGGAAAAAGAAGACATCATTCAAAACTTGGAACTGCAACTTGAAGAGCAGGTTAGGAAGAATCTGATCATCAAAGAGTCCTAAATATGTGCATTCATTTACACATAATTGCAAAGATTAAAAAGAGAAAGCCTGAATTTCTAAATTTTGGTCAGGAATCTCACTTGGTAACCCCTAAAATTACATCACATTTACTGGTAAAAAGTGCAAGTTAAATACATTATCTTTAAGTCCAGAATGATTCCAAGGCAGTATCTACCACTTTCTGGATGTGAGTCTTTATGTTGGAAACACTTGGTTATCAGCAGGCATTTATGCCTGTAAAATGTTTCCAATAAGTCTTTGCTTTAGATTGTTAGGGTGTTAGAAACGTTTATGGAAGGTTAAAATTTAAACATGTGTTTGACACTAATCCTTCTGCTTAGAAATGTGTACACTGTTTTTAAATCACTTTATTGAGATCAAGGGCTTCCCTGGTGGCACAGAGGTTAAAGCGACTGCCTGCAGTGTGGGAGACCTGGGTTCAATTCCTGGGTCGGGAAGATCCTCTGGAGAAGGAAATGGCTACCCACTCCAGTATTCTTGCCTGGAGAATCCCATGGACGGAGGAGCCTGGTGGACTGCAGTCCATGGGGTTGCAAAGATTTGGACACGACTGAGTGACCTCACTTTCACTTTCACTATTGAGATCAAATTTATAGTATTTATTTTTTTTTAATTTTTAAGAAAAAAATTGCATTAAGGTTATTAACCTAAAAAGTCCTTTAGCATCAATTAGATATAACCACTGTAAAATTATTCAATGATTAATCATTTATTTGTAGCATTTTTTTTCACTTCTCTGGATGTCACTGTTGCTATAGAGCAGTGGTTTTCAGCCCCCACCGACTGGGATTTATATGACAGTCATGTTCTCAGCAGTCCTGTGGCCATAGCCGGATTTAAAGGTTGGCAGATGTGAGCTGTGCTCAGCTGCTCAGTCGTGTCCTCCTCTTTGCAACCCCATGGACTATAAGACCGCCAGGCTCCTCTGTCCGTGGAATTTTCCAGGCAAGAATACTGAAGAGGTTTGCCATTTCTTTTTCCAAGATGTGAGCTAGAGTTTCTCAATCTTTATTTTTTCTGAACCTTTTAAAACTATAGCACTTGAGGGGGAAGCAAGCCATACCCCAGAAGAGATTCTAATTCTCCTCTCACTCCGCTGGTTGACTTCTCTTCCACTGTTCTAAACCCTGGTGTTTCCAGAAATGGTTTATTTTATTGATAATATCAGTGGATTGATTTTGGCATATGACGTTTCAGAGAAAGACTAGCAGATGTTAAAACTAGAAATATATATGTATGCTTTTATTATTCTGTCTGCTGGACAGCCATTCTCATTTTATCCTCTTTTGGTAATTTAAAGGTAGACATCTTAACTTGGAAGCAAGTTTTAAGTAGACTTGTCTTTCATGTCTGTAACTGTACTGTTTCCAGGCCAGTGAGCTTATGTTTGAACTAAACAAACTGCTATTGTTATTTCAGAAACAAATAAGGATTCAAGAAGCTAAAATAATAGAAGAGAAAGCAGCTAAGATCAAAGAGTGGGTAACAGTTAAGTTGAATGAGGTATTTATTGCCATATTTATCTTTTCTTAACCTTTTCTTTCTTTCAAATAGATCAGTCATCAGAATATCTGAAACAAAGTTTTGATCAGTTGGTGGTGCTGCTGACTTTTGATTAATATGAGATAGGTAGCTTTCACTTTAATGGCCTATGTAATTCTAAAGTTAAAAAAGGATTGACATAATCATGATAATCAGTCTTAAGTAGCCTCGTTCTAATTAGCTGATTTTAGTTCTAAATAGTTAACTTTAAGTAATTAGAGAAGAATAAGTGAGAATATTAATTTCTCATAAAATTAATGTATTCAATATTATCTGAGTGGTACACATTATTTAGTTTATATGTCAGACTAAATGCTGAAATAATTTGGTTTAAAATAACTTCACAGTGGTAAAGGCATAGGGATGAAAAACATTGAAAACTTTTAGCTCTGGAAAGAATAAATATTAAAGTCATAATTATCTAGGTTGATATTCTGTTCTGATAAATTCATCTGATATTTAGTTATTTCTTTTTGTTTATGTTTAATGAGGTATTAACATTTTCTCAATGTTACAATTTACTGGTACATTTTAGAAATTATTTTCTTTTAGTTGGAATTGGAGAATCAGAATCTTCGTTTGATCAACCAAAACCAAACTGAAGAGATAAAAACAATACAGTCGAAACTACAAGGTATGGGCACTTGACTAAGGTAGCCTAATTCGATTTATTTGCCTGTGTAGAATTTTACTGTTGAGCACTTGAAATATGACTTGTGCAACTTAAGGAACTGAACTTTACATTTTGCTTAATTTGAATTGATATAAATTTTAATAGCCACATGTCCATATGAGCATAGCTAGACAGTAGTGAATAACCCAAAGAGGGTAATTTGAACATTTAATTTTGGGGTATGTTTACTTAAAATAATCAGTCTTGTTGTTTTCTATTTTCACTTTATAGTGTTCTGCTCATTGGTGATTGAAATTCTTAAAACCTGAATATTTTGCACAAAATTTTATGTGAATAAGCTGTTTGCATTTTCCAATACTTAGGCCTGTTTTCTTTTTAACTCCAAAGCCAAAGGATGGGTAATAGAGTTAAAGATAGAGATTTACTTATTAATATGCTATTGGTGTGATAGCCACGCAAGTACACATATAGCTGACCAGAAGGTAGGTCACCAGGGTGTATACTTAGCTTGTGCTTCTTAGACTGATGGCCTAGGATAGTGCTTTTCAAACTTCTATTTAGCAGCAGACCCCTTTCTTTTTTTAATGAGTGATTTTTTAAAAAACAAGTTTATTTTTTAATTTTTTGGTTGTACCCTGTGGCATGTAGGATCTTAGTTCCCTGACTAGGGATTGAACCCACACCCCCTGCCTTGGAAGGCAGAGTCTTAAACACTGGACTGCTGGGGAAGTCTTAGAAGAACCCTTTTTAAAACATCTTTTCCTGTAGAATCTTAAGTAAAAATTGGTAAAAATTGTATTGAGTTATGGGTCCAGAGTTCTGCAGACCTGGTCTCACCCATGCCTCTTCTTGCACTTCTTACCTCTTCTTGTTTCTCTGCAACATTTCCACAAAGCCCTGGAGTTTCATAGAATGCATTGGAAGAATACTGGTGTGGTAGAAAGAACTTGGGCTTTGAAATCAACTTTAATGCCCCACAATTTAATAGCTGTGTTATATCTCCAGTTTTCTTCCTGCATCAGTAAAATGGTGATTGTAATAGTGTCTAACTAGTTTCATGGAGGGTATTGATTATAGGATGTGTGAAAGCATTTTGTCTACTGCATGTTAGTATCTATTGCTGTCATTCTGTAAAGGGAAAAGACTCCTGTTTTCTGTCTCTTAATATTTCTCATATGAGATGTGTGCAAGTTTTTCCTACACTAAGCAATTATCCAGTTCTCAACATACACCGACTGGGTGTCCTACAAATTTAACTCACTTCCAACATTATCTACTTGGATAGCACCAGATCCCTCAGCCCCACAAAACTACCCACCTCCACTCTGATCAGGCACTGAACTCACACACAAATACAGAGGGATAGTTTTGCTTCTGTCCAACAGACTGTAAATCCAAGTTTCCCAAGATCCCTTCCTTGGGTTCAATAATTTGCTGAAAAGGGTCACAGAACTCAGTTTACTTCCTAGATACTGGGTTATTACAAAGGATGTAACTCAAGAAGAGTCAGATAGAAGAGATGCATAGGGCAAGATATGGGAGGAGGGGCACAGAATTCCCAGGCTCTTACCAGGTAAAAACCCTCCCAGCATCTCCATGTGTTAACTTGGAGCATCCTGAACCCTATCCTTTTGAGGTTTTATGGAGGTTTCACTATGTAGGGATGCATGATTAATGAAATCATTGGCCACTGGTGATCAATTCAACCTCCAGCCCCTTTCCTCCTCCCCTGAGGTCAGAGGTAGGGGGTGGAGGGTGAGGCTGAAATTTCTAACCCTCTCATGATTTGGTTGGTTTCCCCTGGCAGCCCCATCCTGAGACCATCTCAGGGCTTTCCAGAAATCACCTCATTAATATATATTCAGAAGTGTTTGAAAGGGCTTGTTATGAAAACAAAAGACATTTTTATCACTCATAGGAAATTCCAAGGGTTTTAGGAGCTGTGTGCCAGGAACCATGGATGAAGACCAAAATATATTTCTTATGTAACACATTTCCTCTACCTATATAATAAAAAAAATTGGTATTCTTCTAGTTGATCTGGAATTCCATATTTATAAGTAAAGCTTTAGGTCTTTGTGTTGTTCACCCTCTTTGAAATAGATCGTATGTACTAAGCCTAATCATAAAATGCTATTTCCCTGATACTTTCTGCTTGCAATTCTAGTCCTCACTGATAGCCTTCTAGTTTTGGAGGCTAAGGATTATTGATCCTTGGAACCTAGGCATTACTGGAGAAGAATAAATATGACATATATAGATATGATATAGTGCTTTCAAAATATCTATGTGTATATGTTGGAGAAGGAAATGGCAACCCACTCCAGTATTCTTGCCTGGAGAATCCCACAGACAGAGGAGGCTGGTGGGCTACAGTCCACGGGATCGCAAAGAATCAGACACAATTGAGTGACTTCGCTTCACTTCACTTCACTTCATGTGTATATGTGATTATTAAAATATCATGAATTAGTTCTGTGAGTTCTTTGGTCAATATGAAAATATTAAAAGATACATCTGAAGGTGGACATTGTTTAAAGATATTTTTTATCTCTATCCAATTATCAGTTACTATTTAACTTTACCCTTTGGTGTTCTTTCAAAGTTGAGAATTTAATTTCTTGGAAACTTTTCTTACTATATCACTGAAAACTCCATGATTTTAATCTTATAAGCAGCAGTTTTACAAGTCCCAGAAGATGAATTAAACCCATGATTAGATGCTTTCTATCAGGCTTCCCTGATAGATCAGTTGGTAAAGAATCTGCCTGCAGTGCAGGAGACCCTGGTTTGATTCCTGGGTCAGGAAGATCCCCTGGAGAAGGGATAGGCTACCCACTCCATTATTCTTGGGCTTGCCTTGTGGCTCAGCTGGTAAAGAATCCACTTGCAGTGCAGGAGACCTGGGTTCGATCCCTGGGTTGGGAAGATCCTCTGGAGAAGGGAAAGGCTACCTACTCCAGTATTCTGGCCTAGAGAATTCCATGGGATCACAAAGAGTTGGACACAACTGGGCGACTTTCACTTTCACTAGGTGCTTGACTAATCACTCACCTAGCTATCTGAATTCTCTGTCTAGAAACTTTCCCCTCCCCTTTTTTTCCTCTGTGTGATTAAGGTTCTCCATATCATGGTCATAGACTAAGCCCCTTTATTTGCTCTCTTATGAGAACCACACTGAAAACTATAACAAGCAAAAGTTACTCCAGTGATCATGTGATATTTGCCCCAGTGATCTTCTAAATTTTCCTGGGTTGTCTTGACAACCAAGACCTCATTCCCACTTTCTCACTATTAGTAGCATTACCCAACAATCAAATTTATCAGTACATACTTCATTGGTATTTACTAGTACTTGACACTGCAAGAAGCTGTAACTCTCTAGTTTATATTTATATCTGGATTTTTGTTTGTTTGTGGCTTGTTTGAGAGCTAACTACTTTTAAAAGGATTAGAAAGTTTTCTCTTTGCAGTTAAAAAATATTTTGTACCATCAAAATATATAAGCAGATATTAAACATTGGTGTGTGGTGCTCGACATTGAGGGTTCCAAGTTATACAGAAATAAAGATGAAATTTAGGCTTTTTTCTGGTCTAAGGAGTGATTTGTCCATATTTTTATTTATGCTTTGGTTCTCTGTTTAACAAAGTGTTATGAAAAATTCAGATCTTGATTTCGATTAATGGTCTTGTAGAAGTTCAAGGAAAGAAGTCAGTTGTTTCCACACCAAAGCTTTCAGAAGGCCAGCGTCTGAGCAGTCTGACCTTTGGGTGCTTTTTGTCCCGAGCAAGGAGTCCTCCTCAAGTTATAAAATCTGAGGAAACGAGCAAGATATCATCTAAAGAACCTGAGTTCACGGAAGGAAAAGACATAGAAGGTATTTATGGACTAGAGGAATTTACTTTAACATTTTTTTAAAAAGGAAAAATCATTTGTTAAGAGTAATGCGAGTTTCAGATTAGGAGTGTGACCTTCCTATTCATTATTTATTTAAAATATAAAAAATTATCTAATATTCAATATGAAATTAAATACGATGCAGCAAACTCAAAGAGAAAGAACACCAGGTGAAAATTTAGTTAACTGCTTTGATTTCCCTTTATTGCCTCAAAGAAGAAAGTATTTGCCACATGTTCAAACTCTGGACCTGTGTGCCGATTTGTAACCTTCTTTTAGCCTTAAAGCCCTTCTAAGTTATGCTTTATTTGGCTTCTGGCTTTGTCAACACCAGTGTGACTTTTCCCAAATATTTTAGAGAGACTTGAACTTGCATCTTTTCTATTTTCAGCTCCTGCTTCCTTCCTCCAAAGGAGAAAAATTATAGCCCTAAGAGCTGTCTCTATGCTTGGTTATGAACTTCTGAAAACTACATAATGTTTTTTCTGTTCAGAGGGTTCCTTTGGTACTTGCTTTTATGCTGTTACGTGGATTTTTTTTTTTTTTTTTTGAGAAATCACTTTCATTTTTTCCTCACTTTCTAACTTTCTCACTTTCAGTTCAGTAAAGCTCAGTTCAGCTGAGGTGGCCTGGACTGTAGCTCTTGCTCATCTGCAGATTTAACAGACTGCCTGATACCCATTTGTGGAGCCTGTATAGCCTTAATTATGAAGATCCTGTCCGTGTTTTCACATTTTCAAAGTTTTTCTTTTGTACTCTTCAGACTATATTTTAAGTTCATTGTCTATGAAGTCAGTGGTTCATTCTATTAGTTATGTTATTAACAAAAATAAGCCATGTCTAAAGACATTTTTAAAGACTGTTATTTTTATTATAAAGATACATTTTGTAGTTATGATTAAACCAAAATAGAGTGAGGAAAGCTTTTCTCTGTGTATGTTTTCTTTACGGTTTTGCATATTTCATGTATTGAAGCTTGGGAATAAAGGTTTTTTAAACAATAGCTTTATATTTATTATGTTTTAATTTACTTATGATAATTCTGAAATTTAGTAGAAATAGGGTTGTCATTTTTTTTTGCTTCTAAAATAGAATTAATGGTGTTCATTTTTCTAGTGGCTGCTATCTTTGATAGTCAGTGTCGCCCTGTTTTTCATTTTGCTTCTTGTATTATCGCTCCTTGGTCTATTGTCAGTTTTTTCCTCCATGTTTCTTTGTAAAAAGCAGTTTCATTTTGATACTATTCTGTTGAGTGTAAGGGCATTGTAGTCTATAGGAAGCTTACCGTTTTCAAACTTGGGTTTAAAAAAGACATTGAACTAAAGCATAATGTAAATCAACTTGATTCAAATGAAAATTTCAGTCTGTACAGTGTAGATATATAAAGCTAAATATACAGAAAGATTGTATGATTAAAGACAGCATGCCAATATACTGTATACTTTTCTAGAGATGGAAATTCCAGAAAAATCTGTTGATAACCAAATTCAAGAAAACAACCGAGGTCAGAGAACACTGCATCAAGGCCCCTGCATGTCAGAGCAGACGCGTAAAACAAGGACGAGCTTTGTGATGGATGGTGGCGCATCCCAGAACTCTGGGGCTCCCGGGAGTGACTGGAGTTCCGATGAGGAAGATGGGAGCAAAGGAAGATCCAAGTCGAGGTACACGTCTACGCTTTCCAGCCACACGTCAGAGGAGGGGGTCCAAAGTAGTAGGGTGGGCAGTGAGACGTATCTCACAGCCTCTGACGACAGCAGTTCAGTATTTGAAGAAGAGACCTTTGGCATAAAGAGACCGGAACACAAGAAGCTGTATTCTTGGCAACAGGAGGCACAGTGGAAGGCTCAGAATTGTCCTCTCGGAAAGGGAACTTCTGGATCAAGGAAAAAGGAGCGTGATAGTTCCTCAGACGAACTCAATAAAAAATTTCAGTCTCAGAGGTTGGATTATTCGTCTTCCTCGAGTGAAGCCAACACCCCAAGCCCTATTCTGACCCCAGCTTTGAGTCCCAAGCATCCTAACCCACTCCTTGGAAAAGGCACAGAACTAGGACCTTCCTCAACTCTGCCACCCCCCAAATTAAGGATTCCTAATATTTTCAGCTTAAGCATCGCACTAGCCAAAAGGCACCTAAGCCAGCCACAGTTAAGTTCCGACAGGATGTTTGGCACAAACAGAAATGCTATAAGCATGATACGCCCACTGAGACCTCAGGAAACAGATCTTGATCTAGTTGATGGCAACAGTACAGAAATTTTAGAGACCATGGACACTAATTGTGATGATGGATTATTTTCCTATGACTGCTTGGAATCCCCATGTTCAGAGGACCAGGAAGCCTGCGATTCAGCAAAGAAGGCAGCCTGTGGCAAACCTCCAACTCCACCTCTGCACCGGTTTCCCTCTTGGGTAAATTATGTTACTGTGCGCAGTGCACACACATTTTTTTTTTCTCAACACTCATTTTCTGATTTTACTTTACTTCTTTTCCTGGTTCTTTTCCAGTCCAGCTTTGTTCTGACCATCCCCAGTTTTTAGAATTCAGTTTTCCCTTCTCTTTTCCCTTGAATCAGTTAAGAAATAAGATACAAGGGTAAGACAAATGGGAGATCCAGATGTTACCTTTATTACTGATAAAACAGATTTTAGAGAATTAGCGGGCACAGGAGCCAATACCACACCTAGGAAATTGCTGGATTTTGCCACCCAGGCGCAGGTAGTGTTGGACCAACTGCCACAGACTCCCTCCAGTGAGGCCCAGCTTCTCTAAAGCTTATGATCTAGAGAAAGAACAAATGGTTGTTTTTGTGCAACAGCTACTTCTCAAGAGAAAGGAAAGGGGAAGATGCTGGTCTTCCTAGATGCATGTCCAGTTTCTCCTTCTAGGCATTCCTGTCACATTAAGCCACTCCTTTTTCTTAGAGAGGAGGAAGTGGATGGTTGGCTAGAGCTCAGGAGTGTTCAATTTTTGGAGTGCCTTCCACATGGAAGGGGGCTTCTCAGGTGGATTTAGTGGTAAAGAACCCACCTGCCAATGCAGAAGATGTAAGAGATGCGGGTTGGATGCCTAGGTTGGGAAGATCCCCTGGAGGATGGCATGGCAACCCACTCCAGTATTCTTGCCTGGAAAATTCCACGGATGGGAGAGCCTGGCGGGCTACAGCCCATAGGGTTGCAGAGAGTCGGACACGACTGAAATGACCTAGCACACATGCATACCACATGGAAATATCAGGGTGAGGAAAAAGGGTTCTCTCTAATGGTGGGTAAATTCTGGACCAGGATACCTGCTGGTCATCAAGTTTTGAACTTAATTATTTATTTGATTGGCTTTAAGAGAAATTTAATTTTACTCGTCATGAACTTATCAATCCATTGCTTTAACCAAAAGCATCTTCCTGTATCTAGAATAGTTTGAAATTTCTTCCATTGAAACATTGACCATTAATATAATAATTAACCTATTAATTGTGTGATTCTTGGGCTTCCTGATGGCTCAGACAGTAAAGAATCATCCTGCAATACAGGAGACTTGGGTTCGATCACTGGGTCAGGAAGATCTCCTGGAGAAGGAAATGGCACTCCACTCCAGTATTCTTGCCTGGGGAATCCCATGGACAGAGAAGCCTGGTGGGCTGCGATCCATGGAGTCACAAGGAGTCAGACACAACCGAAGTGACTAACACTTTCACTTTCTTGGGAATCACTGGATTAAGAAAATTCTTCCTGAGACCTCCCTGATGATCCAGTGTTTAGGAGTCCACCTTCCAATGCAAAGGATGGGAGTTCAATCCTTGATTGGGGAACTGAGATCCCACATGCTCCAGGCAACTAAGTCCACGAGGTGCAAGTAGAGAGCCCATGTGCCACATGAAGACCCAGCACAGCCCCCCAAATAAATTCATGAAAATAATTTTTAAAAATTCTTCCCATGTTTGAAACAAAGTGAAATTATCTGTTTTTTAGATTGAAGTTTTCTTCACATACTGACATAGTTTAACCTTTAGCCTCAAGAGAATCATCTGGTTTGCAGGATTTTGAGGTTTTCAGAGTCATGCTCTGTTATTATTTTTTATTTAGTGACCAATGCAGTTTTAAGCAAATAAGGCAATTATGTTTTCCAACTATAAATTCAGACCTTGAGATGTATCTCTTTTATTTACTTTTAAAAGAACATTTCATTGCAAAGTCCACTTGAAACCACCTGCAGTTTATTGCTAAATTCTGGATAACATAAAAAATGGACATTATTGGCACGTGAATCTCTGGAATTCCAATTATGTTACCCTTTAGGCAGTTAGGAGTTGAAATTTTGCTTCTTTTGTTATGTTGAGATTATGTTGGCGATTTAGGCTAAGCTTTCGCGTTCATTTTACTTGGCAAACCATTTTTACTGCTTTTTTGCCTTTCTCTCTTCACTTTATCTTCTGAAGCTATCCAGTCCTGAAAAAGTAGTATTGCCTTGCAGAAGCCTTCCAGCACATTGGCCAAGTTTGAGGTTTTATTTCTGTTTGTTGAGTATTTTCAAGTTGCACGTTAAAGAGGTATATTCTAATCACCTCAATTTATGAAAGTTTATTTTAAGAGCTTTTAGGGGTTTATTTTAAGGCAGTTTTAAGGCATAGCCCATCGTTATTGAACTGGAATATCATTCAAAAGTACAGCAGTCACTCTAGCAGGTCATGTGATGATTCCGCAGCACCTCTGATGGTCAGCACCTTAGAGACAGGTGACACCCATTGTCCCTGGTCCCATGGCTCAGCTTGCCCTGTCCTGTCTGCTGTGACTATCTGCTTCTCTCACAACTGCTGACTATCACCTTTGCCTCTCTCATGGCTTCTCACTTACTATCTTATTTTTATGTGTCTTTTTGTTCTCTCCACTCTATTTGTCTCGGTGTGTATCTCACCATCACGCTGTCAGAGAAGCTGCCTCTGATTCATTCCATCAGTGACTTTTCAATCTAAAGTGTCTCAGATGATTAGAGATTTCATACACATTGCTTCAAAGCCCCTGGCTAGTATAGTCCTAAAGAGGACTGCCTGAGTTGCCAGCTGTGTCCTGACCCAGACAATTGTGCAGGTTAGGTGTGTTACAAAGTTCAGGACATGGTGATCTATGTGTGAGGAACAACCTGGAGTCCCTTTTCTCATAGGGACAGGGCCAATAGCCTTCCAGTACCCATTTGAGAAATCTCACAGAAGAAGAGAAAACAAAATAACAACCCACTTTTGGAACAAGATTGTATAAATTCTATTGCAGTTCTCAAATTCACTTATTATTTGACTTCAGGTGTTTCTTCAACTTCATTGAAATATGAAGGTGATAGCACTTAATGCTACTTTGTATGTGCTTTCTGACTTCAAGTTTTGGCTTTCTCTTTTTCTTTAACCATATTCTAGAATGGTAGATTGTTAAAGAGAATATTTGTGTGTAGTGAAAGATAAGAAATCGTTTCTGGCTTTATGTTACAGCCATTCAAGGTTTTCTTCTTTTTCTTGGACCATGCTCTGAAATGATGGCATATTAATGGTGGTGTTTATGAATAGTCAGTGGTTGTGAACAAGCTTTCTTTTACTTTTTTCCTGTCCTTTCAAAATAATTTAAAATACTAAGCAAAACTTTGGGAACAAAGATAATGGAGTGACTAATGGATGGAAAAAAATTCTGCAGTGCTGTTCACAGTGGCATATTTTAGTTGGCACTGGTGACAGTTTTATAATAATGCTGTACTCTGGTGACTGTTAAATGAAGAACAAATGAAAAACATATGTATTGAAAGTAATTGCTTCTTTGCTTCAGATATCCAGCTTAAATCTCTCTTTTACATTAGGAAAGCAGAATTTATGCTGTAGCCAAATCAGGCATTCGAATGTCTGAGGCCTTCAATATGGAGAATGTTCATAAAAGTAAGTGTTTTTGCATGCTGCATCATGAATGAACCTTGAGCACTTTGTGCTAATTGAAATAAGCAGTCACAAAAGACAAACACTGCATGAGTCTACTTACATGAGGTATCCAAAGTAGTCAGATTCATAGAATCAGAAAGCAGAGTTGTGGTTCCTAGGGGTTACGAAGAGTTGGGGAAGGGGAGCAGTTGCTTAATGGGTATAGAGTTTCAGATTTTCAAGATACAAATGTTTTGGAGATCTGATTGACAACAGTGTGAATATGCTTAACACTAACTGAACTCAAAGGTGGTTAAGATGGTAAATATTATCTTATGTGTTTTTTACTATAATAAAAATATTTTTTTTAAGAAAAAGTGATTTTTGTATTGCCATTTCACTAGCCAAGAATTTCCTAAATGTCTAAAGTCATTTGAATAAACACAGCTTTGCCAACTTTCAGAAAATGCTTTCTGAAGTTGCTGATTTATATTTTAAAATTGAAATTCATGTTAGTATAGGGACACATTGATGGTCAACTCTCATGTAGCAAGTATCTCATGATTTTATCCCAAAGAAGCAAAAGCCTGGACACTGCAATTTCAGCTGTTTAAATTGTAAAAATATTGATCTCTATGTCTTCTTTTCCCAGTGTTTAAAACACTTCCTCCTTTCTTTCTTTCTTCAGAAATTTATTATAGAAAAAAATACATGCTCATTATGAAAAATAAAACCAAACCACAAAGAACTGTCTGAAATAAAAAGAGACATTTTTCTGTAGTTCCTTCTGCTGGCCCCTTCCTTTCCTATCTGTAATCTGTATCTTAAAGGTAACCATTAATGTTCTATTCCTTTTCGGCTATCTATCATTGGTTTTTGCCACTCAGGAAATATATTCTAACCTTTCAATTTGAGGTTCACCTGCTAAAGGATTAAAAGTGATGATATTTTAACGCCGGGTCACCAATAGGGCTCTGAATAATCAGAGAATATCTTCACGGGGTACTGCTCACTGAGTCAGTCAGTAGGTATTTGTACTCATTTCCGCCCAGCCTGGGCTGAATGGAGATACCAAAGAAACAAAATCCTCACTTTCAAAGAGGTTATCGGCTAGTTGGGGAGCTAGCACACTTGGGTATGTAATGAACCATGTAAGAGAGTGTATAATTTAAACTGTAGATGCCATCGTTCTTAAAGTAGGCTGCATAATAAATATCGTGTATTCATCCAGTGTCTCTTTAATTAGAAATTTTGTTAATTCACATTCATAAGAAATAGACCTAAGTGTTAGTTAGATCTATTTTTTTTTTAAAAACCATTTTGTTTTCTGTTTCAGATTCTGTTGCAATGCTTTCCTACACCACATCAGGACTTTATACATCTCTGATATACAAGAACATGACAACCCCAGTGTATACGACATTGAAGGGGGTAACTCATTATTGTTAAACACGTGGGTCTCTTCATGGTGGATCAAAAAAACTGTTTATTCAAGCTCCAAATTCCATTCTTAACATTTTATATAAACTCCCTTTATAGGGAGTTTTAGAAGTTCACACTAGCACATTATTAAAAGAGAAGAAATGGAAAAATCTCAAGATATTTATTTTAATCAGCATAATAGAGGTCTGATATGCTACATTTTTGTTATGCTGCATGTGAGCCTCTACCCCATCCATAACTGTTAATTGTTTAAAGGAAATAGTGTTAATGGTGTAAAGAAAGCAACTAATTTAGAAAGCTCTTCAAATCACTGCCAGGGTTCCCCTCCCTTGTGTGAAGTGCCTGATTAAAATAGGTATCATCAGAAAAAAAGTATCAGATATGAACAGTCTTATGGTCTTAGGAATCTTTTATCATTTACAAATGCCTTGCTGATTGGAATTTGGAATTTAACAAGTGTGACTTTGATAATAGCAAGATGCTTTCTTCTATTCCTTAAAAAAAACCTTATTCCATAACTTCTGGTAAAATTCTGTACCTAAAGAGAGATAACTTTGGAGATGGACACATAGGGAGGCTGTTTTGTTTCTCTTTAGAAGGCGACCCAGATAAGCAGCAGCCCGTTCCTGGATGAGTCCTCTGGGTCAGAAGAAGAAGACAGTTCAAGATCCAGCTCCCGGACCTCGGAGTCAGACTCTCGCAGTCGGAGTGGGCCAGGCAGCCCCAGAGCCTTGAAGCGAGGTAAGGGATGGTTGCACACACACAAGGCAGCTCCAAATAGTTCAGGATATTTAGTGGGAAATTTATCTCTACAATAGGACTTAAAAAAAAACTCAAAGTACTGCTTTCCACTCGCACATGCTAAGTCACTTCAATAGTGTCCGACTGTTTATGACCCTATGGACTGTAGCCTGCCAAGCTCCTCTGTCCATGGGATTCTCCAGGCAAGAATACTGGAGTGGGTTGCCATGCCCTCCTCCATGGGATCTTCCTGACCCAGGGATGGAACCTGCGTCTCTTACGTCTCTTGCACTTGGCAGGTAGGTTTTTTGTTTTTTGTTTTTTTTTTCTACTAGCACCACCGGGAAGCTCATAGTGAAAAGAGTATTCACTGAGGACTAAGACACATATTTTAGTCCTAATCCTCTTCTGAATTTTCTTTGTGATTGCAGACAAGATAATCTATTTTTTTAAAGCTTCTCTGTGAAAGAGAGATCACTTCGTTATAGGAATAAAGTGAAATACTTGGCTTAAATGAGGTTTCTCTTTTATAGTTACTTTTTGATTTTGAGTAATTTATAGGATGGATGGACTTATTTCAGCTAAATTCATTACACTGCTAAATGGCAGAGAATACACCTAAAAATGTGGTGGTTAATCTGATATTAAGAAACTTACTTTGGGCAGGTCTACAATTTTTGTGAATTTTGAAGAAATGTTCAGTATAGATACAGGTTCTAGAGAGAGTCAGTCATATTAAATGATATCTGTATTTCACAAAAGCTATGTGGCATAGCATGTTGGTTTTGAAACTGTTCCATGGAACCCCTATGTACTCCCAAGCCCCTCAGCTTCAACAGGACCTGTTCAGCTCTCATAGGTTTAATATTTTGGCTTCCATTGGTCTCTTTGCTACTACCTTGCCCCCTTGACAGCTGGAATCAGGTTGTATCACACTTTTGCTCAAAACATTGCAAGGACTCCTTATACTGACTCTGACTTATTACATGATTCTTTGATGTCTTTGACCTCATCTCCTCCTTTCTCCTCCCTTACTCAGCTCTGGCCACCCAGACACTTTTGCTATTCCTGGAACATGCCAGGTATGCTTTTGTTTCAGGACCTGTGCACTGAGTATTTGCTCTACCTGGATTCTTCCCCCAGATGTCATTCTGGCTGGTCCCTGCTTGGCTCAGACGCTGCCTTCTCAATGAGCTCTACCCTGACTACACTATTCCAATGCAGTCCTTTACGCTTCTCCAACTTCTAGCACTTTTTCTTTTCTTTAGTTGGCTCTGTGGTTTATTTTTCCATAGCATTTGCTCTCTGTTTTTTGTCTGTCTCCCCCAACTAGAATCTGTGTTCCACGAGGACAGAAATTTGTTTTGTTCTCTGCTCTGTCCCTAGCATCTTGAGGCTAAGAGCCTGAGATTTGCATCCCAACATTGCCTCTGCCTGGCTATTTGACTTTGGACAAATCCTTTAATCTGTGGATCTTAGTCTCCTTAGAGAATGAGGGCCTGAACCAGAATGATCTCTAAGTTCTTTGGTAGATTGAAATTTCTGTTATTCTTTGAAAAATAAAGATACTACTATTATCACATCCATTACTTGGCTTAGTCAAATAAATTAGAAGAATAATATAGTGAAATTATCCTAACATGGCCCTTAAATGTTAATAGATACTTTAAAAATTGCCAGATACTATAATGAATAATGACTTAAGTTCTTGATTTTATTTAATATTTTCAAAATCTCCAGTTGTAGTGGCTCTCCAATGTGACTTGCAACTTGCAAGTTGTTTTCTAAAATGGCAAGTGAATTGTTGCAAAAAATGTTCCTTTGAATTTTGCATTATAGCTGCTGGCAAATGAAATAGTCTGTTTATATCTTTTTTATTGCTTCTCTTTTATGCAAGATTTTCAAAATCTATACACTAGTAGTATTGGACTCCTATGTTCTTTTAATGTGATGTTACTTTAAAATGATTACAAAAATTAAGTGTATTAAAGTGTGATCATACAGATCTTGATAAATTAAGGTTCAACTTTTGTTTGCCTACGTATGCATGTGCTCTCTGTGCTCAGGTGCTTCAGTCGTGTCCGATTCTTTGTGATCCCATGGACTGTAGCCCGCCAGGCTCCTCTGTCCATGGGATTTTTCAGGCAAGAATACTGGAGTGGGTTGCCATTTCCTCCTCCAGGGGATCGTCCCAACTAAGTGATTTGCCTAGATGTCAATATGTAAATACACATATTTTTAATTCTTAATAAAACACATTATTAGACTATTACATACATTTTATATATGTGAAAAAAGCTGTACTTAACAATCATCCCAAAATATTATTTATGTCTCTTTGACTTCCTTGGAGATCTGCATGATAGTCCTTAACCCTTTAGTTCTGTTTTCTGCCTTAAAGGTACTTCATGGTCAAAGGCATGGAATACATCTAGTCTAGGAAGGGTGATGATTTGGGATATGGATGTATTTTCTTAGGAAAACTGACAACCAGCATTTGGACCATCCACTTACTAAATATTGACTTGATTTTTTTCTTTTCATCTAGGTGTGTCTCTTTCTTCTGTGGCCTCTGAAAGCGATTATGCTATTCCCCCAGATGCTTACTCCACAGACTTGGAGTACTCACAGCCAGAGCAGAAGCTCCTGAAAACTTGCTCATCTTCCAGTGATAATGGGAAAAATGTAAACACTTAGTCAGGGTTTTTTTTTTTTTTTTAATTAATGAATCTGTTAGAGTCTCCAAAGGGAACCTAAATATTTTTTTAAATCTCTTTAATTAGGAACCACTGGAAAAATCTGGCTACTTATTAAAAATGAGTGGTAAAGTCAAGACTTGGAAGCGGAGATGGTTTGTTCTTAAAGGTGGTGAATTACTTTACTACAAATCTCCGGTAAGTAGAAATTGCTTGTTATTTAGAACTGAATTCCTCAATCTATAAATCAGACTCCTGACAGATTTTCTTCCATGTAATGCAATTAATGAGACAAATCACTTCTTATTATGACTATAGGTAATCACTTTGCATTGGTTTTCTTCCCTTCATACAGAGTGATGTAATCAGAAAACCACAGGGCCATATTGAACTTAGTGCATCCTGCAGCATTTTAAGAGGAGATAACAAGCAAACAGTTCAGGTATTTTTTTTTTCTTTTTTATATCATGTAAAACTCAGTTCTCAATTTTATAAGCTAATAGAATGAAGACTGGGTATTCAGTATCTTTTTATTCCATTTGGTGATCAGTTTGATGCCCCTAAAATGGGTAAAACCCTGGGATTTCTTAGTTAAAACTATGTTATAACCTGAGTTTATGTTAAGTAAGTCTCCACTGTATTTTCTTTGCCCTAGATCCCTTACACTGTTTGTTCCCCACTCCTAACCCTCCCAGCCATTCTCAATTCTCAAGCTGTCAAGCTATTTTAGGGGAGGGTTATTTGATAAATGAATTCCCAATAAGATATCCATATTTTAATGTACTGTTGAATTCAGAAGTGTTTGCAATTTAATAGAGAACCAGAAAATGTCAGTTTTGTGAACTTCAGATGCTTTTACACCTAAGTGGGAAGGATATTAGGGAGCAGAGGGGCTGTCCTAGTTCCCATGAAGTCACACCACAGAGGGGGCTGCTGACCATTTCACGCACACATAATGCCAGTCTTGCTGGGAAACCTTTGTCAAGTTTAAAAAACAAAACAAAACAAGCTATTATTGAAATAGTTTGGATAGGTGACTTAAAATTCAGATGATTTATTTCTAAAATGCCTTCCATAATTGTTATTTTCTTATCTTCCTCTTTTGGAGGGTGAAATACAACATTTTATTAGAAAAGTACATTTTCATTGTTTTCAGTGGCTAGTACCTGAGGACTGCCCCAAATGTAGAAAGGAGAATCAGTATATTTATGGCTGATTTGCATTGTTGTACGGCAGAAACCAGCACAACATTGAAGCAGTTTTCCTCCAATTAAAAAATATAAACATCTATTTAAAAAAAGAATCATTTGTAGGCTTCTGAAACCAACTATTCTGCTCCTCATTTCAACAACTAGGAATCCATAGCACATTTAAGGGAGAAAAGGAAAATCTAATGAGAAAGCAAGATTAAAAAATCATGACCCCAAAGCATACTATGAAGAGTTTTAAAGTAAATGGAAGTGAAAAAACTATTTGAACAAAAAGTTAATTGTCCTTCTCACAAAGTGGTTAAAATATGCTACATGATTTATAGAATCATTTATTTGGAACCTGGGATTCAAGTTGCAGCTTACTTGTTTCCATATTAGGTAGTGATATTTGAAAAATGGACAAGGAAATGATAATCATTCTAAAATCTCTAGTTTCCTTTTCTATCTCTTTCTCATCCCGTTCTAGTTGACCACTGAAAAACACACATACTATCTGACTGCAGATTCCCCCAATATATTGGAGGAATGGATTAAAGTGTTACAAAACGTTCTTCGAGTACAAGCTGCCAACCCCCTTTTCCTGCAACCTGAGGGCAAACCAACGGTGAAGGGATTGCTCACCAAGGTGGGAACTCTATATACAGTAGCAGTGTCCCAGGCAGTGAGAGAATTAGCCCCGCAATCATGAAGAGTGGGCATCACAGAATACATATTATTTATGTTGTTCTGCAGTGGGAAAGAGTGTTTTAAGTATGATACCAAAGGCAAAAACCATAAAGATGAAACATGACAAATTTGACTATCCTACATAAAAATGTAAATGTTCTTACTATCAGAACTTCTCTAAGCAAAATTTTTAAAAGACTAATGAGAAGCTTTGAAAATGTATTTGAAACTTAAATACAAGCTTTTTTAATCAGTATGTAAAGGATAAATATCAGTGAGGGAAAGAACAAAGGACACAATGAGAGAGGTAGAGATAGAAACACAAATGATCAATAAACTTATAAGAAAATGTTCTACTATCATTAATAATTTTCTTAAAAAGCAAGAAGTAATGAATATTTTAAAAAATCTGATCAAGGGAGGACCTTTTTTAAAAGTATGAAATACAGTATTGACACAAATTAAGAAATTTGCTACTGAGTTTACTTTAGAAGGCAGTTTGGCAGTGTCTTGGCCAAAGTATTTTACTCAGTAAATATTTTTGAATGAACAAATAAATGAATAAATATTAAATGTTTTAAGAAGATAAATATTTAGACTTTGATCCAGCAGTTTCAGTCTAAGAAGTTTATGCTTAGGAAATTATCTTAATTTGCAAAACATTTAAGTATGAAGATGTCCATCACAGCATCCTCTTTCTGATTTAAAAAAAAAAGATAATAATTAACATGCATTGAAATGCAGGTTTTAAGTACAGGATTGAATCAGTTTTGGTAGATATTTACTGTCACTCTCTCAAGATATAGAAGATTTCCATTGCTGCAGAAATATTACTTGCACTCCATGGTTTATAATACAGAAAAACTGAGATCATCTTAGATGTGGAGTAGGGGATAGTTTTAAATATTTATATAATCAGGTAATGCTTTACTGTGCAGTCATTTTAAATGTGTAAAAGAATGTCTAATGTTTTAGAAATAGATTATGATAGGTTGTTAGGTGATAAAATAAGTGTAGAGTATTACATAGTTATCCCACTTTTGGTAAGCATATTTGTAGAAAAATGTCTGACTAGGAAATATACTAAGGTATACTGGATATCTCTGTGTGGTTTTTACTTCATTTTTGCTTAGTTCTGTTTTCTAACTTTATAATATAAAGTCTGGCTTTCTTTTTTAAAAGATTTTACAAGTCTGTCAACCTCAAACATACATAGGTGAATTATTTTCTAACTTTTTTAGAATGAGTAAATATTGATTTATGCTAAGACAAATATTATTAAAAATTTTTTAACAATACAATAAAATATTTACACATAAAATACTGCACACGAAAGTAATCTTTGCATCATCATGCATCACTCATATGCTTTATTTATGTAAGAGAAGAGAAATTTAACTATGGTGAGCTGTGCCACCCTGTAATTTATACTTAATATTAATGTGGGAATATGGGTGGGTGCTCTTCAGTAATATTTACAAAGACCGACCAACTATTCTAAAAGTAAGAGAAAAAATTAACAAATACATTCAACAAAGAGATGCACTATGTGTTTTTCCGGATCATTCTATCACCATGAAAATGTTTTTTCTTTTACTCATGGGCTTGAGAACTCCCTGGTATTGTGCTAATATATGTTTTCCAGTGAACCCAGTGCTACTTTAAATCACATTCTTATTCCAATTCATAATAACTAGTTGTCCTACTGTTTCAAGGACTGTGTATATCAAATCCTTAGGCTTTAATATGATCTCATGGCTAAGGGTTTATAATTTCTTTCACAATCAGTGTTTTTGTTTTTTTTGCTTATTTTTAATTATCAGCATGCCTTGTCAATTTTCACTCCTGTTACATTTCTACTGTTCCCTGCTTCCCATTTTACAACCGCATTTTAAATGACTGCAAGTTGATGTGATTATCAGATGACTAAACCACTAGGATTTATTGACAGGATGCTTATTAGATTTCCTTCCTACCATTTGTGAAGGGTTGTCCACCCCCATATTTTCACCTGCAAAGCCTTATATGAGAAAAACTCTTTCCGAGTGACTTGTTCTGAGCTCACATTCAGGCTACAATCCCAGATATGGCAGAGCAGTGTTTGAATACTTTGCAGGGGAGGAGACTTTTTCAAGTTGTCACACTGTTATTATTAAGTACAGAAATATGTAGGCAGATACTAAGAACTTGACTAATTTGATTCTGGATAGTCAGTCTTGCAACTTTTAATGCTTTGGAAGAACATTTCCTATATAGAAATTCACTTATTTTAAAATATGTGTATTGAACAGTTATCCCATGTCAAGCAAGGAGCTGAGATATTTAAATGATTAGACTGCTGCCCCATCCCCCAGAGAGCCTCATATCTAGTGGGAAAGAAAAGAACATAAGCATATTTATAATGATATATTAATACATAAAGCACTATTACTGACATGCATCATGAGGTGCACAGAAAAACTGAATAATTTAGACTGTGGGGTCAGGAACAACTTCTCAGAGAAGGTTTGCCTGCACTGAGTCTCCAAGAAGAAGTAGGATTTAATTTTGGAAATGGGCAAAGGAAGGTATTCCGGGCTGGAAGACAGCATGGACAAGAGACACAGTGTCTCAAAGCATGGCCACCTATGTCAAGAGCAAGTCCTTTGAAGAAAGCGTTGGAGGGTCCTGATCGTGGAGGACTGTTGGTCTTGTTAAGGACTTTGTTCTTCGTCCTCAAGGTGATGTGGAACCTCTCAGGGTTTGTAACAGGGGCATGGCTGTGTTCAAGTTGTTAACAGATTGCTCTGCTGAGAGGAAGATGCATTTGTGGGAAGCAAGCTGGAGTTTCTAAGAACAGTAAGTGGAGGTGGTTTTCCTGAAGAGGATGAGACGCTGAACTGGTCATTGGGAGAGAGACCAGAGGGTGAATCTAAATAATGTTAGGAGGTAAAAATCTTCAGTTAGACTGAGGCCAGCGACTAGGAAGTGGGAAAGAGAAGGATAGCTGGGTGAAAGATGGTGCCAGATGATAGAGACCTCAGAAAAGAGGAGCTGTTTAGGATGATCAAATGGTTCTTTGGGGACCTGTCAGCTTTACAGCTTGTGAAGACACCTGCATTAAGAAGTGCAGCAGGCCGTGGCAACACAATCTCCTTCAGAGGAGAAGGCTCGGTTGGAGAGAAGGATTTGGGGAATCACCATTGTGCATGTGATAGTCGACTCCATGACAGTGGGAGAAATCATCCAAGAAAATGTGTATAGTGAGAAGAGCAGGGGACTGTTAATAGGACAGTAGGTTTCCCAAATTTGAGAAGACATAAAGGAGATATATGAAGGGACCCTGCAAAGTACGTCCTGGAGGCCGGGAGTGGAGTGTCTGACAGGGAGGGAGTGATCCGCAGTGTCAGATGCACGAAGCGCACTGTGGTGTGTTCAGGGGTGATGGGGAGATGAGTGAGAGCAGTACTGAGCTGGGAGGACTGTCCCTGCTTCCTGGCACGTGAGAGAGGATGGAGCTGGGAGGGAGCGCGGTGCCAGGAGAGGCACTGAGGTCAAAGGAGAGCGCGGCGTGAGTAAGGAGAGAGGGAGCTGGGGAGGCTGAGGTCAGAAAGTAGAGTGTAAGTTTCAGAAGTGGAGCCGTTCCCAATGAAGGAAAAAGGACCAGGCTGTGGCCGAGGGGATGAGTGGCAAAAATGGAGCGACAGCAAAGGTTTTTAGAAACGAAAAGAACAAGGTGCTGTGAGTTAAGATTGTAGGGAGGCAGTGCGGCACAGAGCCTCGGGCAAGAGTTGAGGAGCCAGACTGCACACCAGTGCACGTCCTGGCTCTGAAAGCTGCCGCTTGTGGGACCGTGAATAGGTTACTTAGCACCTCTGTGCCTTAGTGTCCTTTTCTGTAAAGTGGGAATAATATTGGTGGCAATCTCACAGGGTGCTGGGAAGATTAAATAAATTAAGTGTGTAAAGTGGTTTAGAACAGTGCCTGGCACATCATAAAGACATCCAAAATGCTAGCTATTATTATCAAAAGAGTTTCCTCTGGATGATGAAGTCAGCGAGACAGGTTACAGGATTTGTAGTGGAGAAGGTTACAGGCATGAAAATATAGTAGAGGAGAGAAGACCATGGGAGCTCGTGTTTTGTGTGATGACACAGGCCAATCAGGATATAATACACTGTTTGTCATCAAAGTTTCAGAAAGAACTGATAAAAGTACCTTTGTTATGGATGCAAGGTAAAAAAAAAAAAAAAAATTCTTTCAGGTCTTTAGTTTACCAAAGCCTTGAAGTTTGAAATTGTCTTTAAATCTTTGTGCGAATTCTTCTAGTGTAATTTATTATGATTTTTTTCCCAGAATAAGTCAGAGTTGGGAGAAATCTTAACATAATCAGATTTACCTAAAAAGATAGACTATGTTTTTAAAACACAGCTTTTACAGTGACTTGGCAGAAGTCCTCATTAATTTGTAGTTCCTCAAAGGCACATATTGCTCTATTTAAAGATAAATCATTTCCGAAGTATACTCTTTATAGCCAGATGCATTATGCTTCAATTTTAGTGAGACTCCTTTCTGGAGTTTGTTTCAAAGAACAAAAAAGTAATCTGTATAACACAAACTATTTAAAACTTCCAGTATATTTTTCTGTAAGTACATGTTTCTAAATTCAATTAAACTGAAGCATTTCTTGCCAAATGAAACATTTTTTGTTTTTGTTGTTTCTCCTTAAGCAATATTCTAAATCCATCAGACTGTTAGATGGTGGAGTTATTTGTTTGCTTAAACCATACTTTGGAAAGCCCAAAGACTGGCTGCATTTATGGGTTTAAATGAAACATGTGTTTTACTTCTCCTTATGCATAACAAGGAAGGAAGTGTTTATTGAGTAACTACTAGTATCCTTTATTTACATTTTCTCCTTTGGTCATACAACAGCCCGCTGAGGTGTACAGTTATCCCACGTTAAGGAAAGAAGTTGGGAGGTCAAGTCAGTTGCCTGGGGGCATCGTCTATCCAGTGTGTGTGGTAGAACTGGGATTTAAACCTTGGTCCATTTGACCTCAGAACCCAGGCCATTTCTGCTGTTGTGACTTGCCCACTGCAAAATCCATTCTTCTCTGTTTAAATGTTGTCATTACAAGGTCTCTGCAAAACATGTGTGCTTCCCAACCCCACGTGCCGCCCCCCCCAGTGACGCCTCCCCTTACTTGCTCAGTCTCGGACACATGGACACACACCATCTCAGGACCTTGGTGCTTGCTGCGCCCTTGCCCGGAGCGTTCTCTCAGGTGACTGCGTAGCTCACCTCCCTCCTGTAGGGCTTGAGTCTTCAGTGTTGATGACGCCTTCCTGACCCCCATATTTTAAACTGTAAAACACATCCCCTGCTTCTCCAAGCACTTCCTTCTCTTTTCCTGCTTTGTTTTTCCTCTTCATGTTTATCACCATGGGCAAGCATGACAATGGAATGCTGGGCTTTGGTTTTACCAGCCAGTGTCTTGGTTTTCCAGTGGTGGATCTCTCCAGGTTGAAGTCCACTCTGACTATTGAAGGAGAGGGTCAAACCTCAAGGCAAAAATTGGCGGGGCTGCCTGGGTAGTGGAAGTATTGGGCAAGCTCAACCAGGCATACCACATTCTAGGTCTGGGGCAACAGAACCCATTACAGATCTTATCCACTGGAGGGAATAGGGTTCTTGGTGTTTTTCTAGACTTGAGGGTATAGCTGGGACTGTCTGACAGAGATCTTCAGTGCCTTAACCTGGACAGGGCTGGGGCAGGGAGGAACTCATAGTGAGGATCTTGCATTGGCAGGCAGGTTCTTTACCATAGCACCACCTGTGAAACCCAATAGTGAGGATCTTACTAAATCCACTGAACAGTGAAAAACCTGTAATATTCAGGACAAATTTGTGTGTAAACGTGTAGAACGTGTGTGTGAAATGTCTTACACACACACACCTAAGTGTGCAAGCTTTGTATTTCTGATGAAGATACATAGCACACTGCTGGTTTGCTTGTCTGTCTGCCTCGTGAGGCAGTGAGCGCCTCGAGGAAGGAAACTGTCTTGTTCATATCTGTACCCCCAGTGCCTGCACCAGTCCCTGACTACTCAGAGTCAAGAACCAGACTCAGATTCCATCCCAGTCACGAAAGATAGTTCCTGACATATAGGAAGTGCTCAATATATAACAGTAGCTTTTAATGTTGCTTTTATTATTTTGTGTGTATCCTTCTGGAGAAGGCATCAAGTGTTTTGAATGAATGAAACTTCTGTATTTTGGAAATCACTAGAATTCTTAGGTTTCAGTCTTCTTGTTTCTAACATGTGTTAACCTGGAGAGCCACAGGATTGTTGGAAATCTATATAATATGGAAACTGTGAAAAATACTTACTTGTGAAATTGGCATCTTTTAAGCCTTAGTCTTAGGTGTAACACTTGACATCTAGTAAACATTCATTAAATGTTGAGTGGTGAGCATGAAGCAAACATGCCATGATACTAGTATAACAGGTAAATTGCAAATAGCATTCAGATAGTCTGGTTGAAATGTCATTTATAACTTGAGCAAACTGGATAGCTGTTCAAATAGCTTCAAATAGAGTGTATATGCCATACTTTAAGGTGTCAGAGTCCTGAGCTACATTTATAATTCTTTGAAATATGATTTCAGGTAAAACATGGTTATTCCAAGAGAGTCTGGTGTAAACTTATAGGAAAAACATTATATTATTTTCGTAGTCAAGAAGATAAGGTATGTATATGTTCTTAATATCCTGATTAGAGAAATTTTTTGTTGATTATGGCTTCAAGTTTTTCCTTTTACTGTTCTATTGCTAGCCCAAACTTTAGAATTATTGATGATGTTGAAATTTTGCATAAAATTTATTACTAAGGTAATCAATAGGCCCAGAGGGATCTTGATTCTTAATTATAAGCCTTAGCAACTTTTAATTAATGCTTCTTCTAAGACCTAGAAAAATCTTCCCCTACCCCGCTCTCAGCCATCAGTTCCTCATATTTTTCAGGCCTGACAGAATAGATAAGTTTGACTGATGGGAGCATCAAGCTAGGGAAGAAGCTGGAGAGAAAAAAGAATCCAGTCCTGTCCCAGGCCCTTGAATTCCTAGACACCACTTATCTATCCATCCACCTACCTATTTATGTCCCATTGGTTCATTTTTTTAATTAATCTCCTCCCCCAAAGAACTTGAGTTACCTTCATTTTCAGAGGAAAAAGGTGATGTCTTCCAAAGGTAAAATGTGTGCCTAATTATCATTGGATCAAGAGTATTTGCATAAAACAATGATGCCTGCTTCACAGAATAGCAGCCTGTGAGTGATTACTGTATTAATGAGACCAGACTTCTTGGTCCACTGACCACATAGGTCAGTTAGTATTTCTCTGTTCTGTTTTTGCTGCCTGCACTCTGGGTTCTGGCTAGCCGTATTTATTTATTTATTGGTCACTTCATGCAGCATGTGGGACCTTAGTCCCGTGACCACATCGTCTGCATTGGGAGTGCACAGTCTTAACCACTAGACTGCCAGGGAAGTCCCCTGACTAGCCATATTTAAAAGGCATTTCCTTATTCTCAGTATTGCTCATGGGATGGAAATTAACACAATGAATCTTTGAGAGTGTTATCTCTGAAGCAGTGTGGGAATATGCTCATTAAAATAATATAAGAATAAGCACATTACAAAATTGTATATCCCAATATAACCCTAACTCAGTTATCAATCAGGAAAACCGCAGCCACTCTGTGTTTTCCATTTACAACAATTTTGACGTAGAATTAGGGACTTAACGTAACTTTTAGAAAAGTCAGGGTGGTAGAGGTTGGGGAAGAAGCTGCCACTGAAGGTCCAGGAAGGTAGGACCAGTGGTCTGAACACAAAGCACAGAGGCAGCTGGTCCTCAGCAGTTGACTGCGAAGCCTCTGTGACGCTGCCAGCCGCCCAGGCCTCTGACTGCAGCTGTCTCTGCAGTAACTCCTTTGACACCCTTACCTTCCACATTACATGCCAGTTCTCTCAGGCAAGCTCTAATTTGGAACTATGTGGGGAAAGGGATTCTGACACATACAGTGCCCAGCTTCTTTTCTGCAATTACAGGGAGACTTTAGAAGAGGGAGATTGGGATGCTGAGCTTATAATCCTCCTTCTAGCACATCTGTGTTAAAACACACATAGCAGAAAAGTCAGAAAGAACTGTACCGAAATGTTGAGTGGTGGTAGAATTATGGATGACTTTTTTTTTTTTCCTTTTTGGGGTGAAAAGTGAAAGTGTCAGTCCCTCAGTTGGGTCTTACTCTTCACAACTCCATGAATGGTAGCCTGCCAGGCTCCTCTGTCCATGGGATTCTCCAGGCAAGAATACTGGAGTGGGTTGCCATTTCCTTCTCCAGGGGATGTTCCCAACCCAGGGATTGAACCCGGGTCTCCTGCGTTGCAAGCAGACTTACCCTGTGAGCCACCAGGGAAGCCTCTCCTTTTTTGGGTACCTTTCAGTTTTTACCAAGTTTCTGTAATAAGTATGTGTTTTATAAATAGAAAAGTGATTTAAAATTTACCAAGAGTAAAATTTAAATGTTCTTACTACCACTACTACTACTATTTCTATTATTTAATAAAAATGGATAACATTGATCATAGAAGAAACAAGTTAGAAGAATGTAAATAGATGAGCAGAAAGCCATGATAATTAGTGGAAAAGTACTAAAATGCTTGTGAATCAGTATAGGCTAACTTCATTTTGTGCTATACATGTTTCAGAAACAATTTGTCTTTATCTCGACCAGTGTCTTTTTAAAAATTCAGTCAAAATATTTAAAAACGCCAGGTCTATTCACTGTTTATGGAGCCACGGTGATCCTTTGGTGAAAGGAATGTTGTTGTTTATTCATTGAGTCATGTCTGACTCTTTGTGACTCCATGGACTGCAGCTCGCCAGACTCCTCTGCCCTCCACTTTCTCCTTTGAAATTAGATCAAATTCATGTCCATTGAGTTGGTAATGCTAGCTAACTATCTCATCCCCTGCCGCCCCCTTCTCCTTTTGCCTTTAATCTTTCCCAGCATCAGGGTCTTTTCCAATGAGTTATTCTTTGCATAATGTGGCCAAAGGATTGGAGCTTCTGTTTCAGCATCAGTCTTTCCAATGCATATTCAGAGTTAGATTTCCTTTAGGATTGACTGGTTTGGTCTCCTTGCAGTCCAAGGGACTCTCAAAAGGAATAACCATCCTTAATATTGTGGTGGATGGAACCTTGATTGTCATATGATTAGACAAGCCTAGAGCACACAATTAGGATAGTATTGTCATGTATTATCATAATAGAATTAGTTTTATCTGATTTTTTAAAGCTTGCTTTTTATTTATTAATGTGACTTTGCTGCCCTATTATTTTTGTTTTACTACCTTTCTTTTTCTGAAAATATAGGTAAGTTAATTTTATATTTTTTTCAGAAGTAAATTTTCTTCATTCAGTACCCAGAATAGTACTTTGCACATAGTAACTACTCAGAAAATAATTGTTATGAATTTAATGGGGAAAGAAGTTTTTCTCATAAAATAGAACACATGTAATTAAGTGAGTTAATTTTTTTCTATTAAGTATTAGGCAGATAATATTGCATTTTAGATAAGATATCTAGGTGAGATAGTTTAAAAGCAACAAATCTCAAGCAGACTGTATATGTTCCTGTAATAAGTGTACTTAATTAAAGCAAAAGTTTTAAAACATAGCAAATAATTGTTGTCAGTAAAAGAGTAGGTAAAATTTAATGTAAATTATTTTTAAGATTTTTTTTCTTACCCTGAAATTAAGATGGAAGAAATCGTGGCATTTTTTTGTGATTTATTTTATATATACATGTACATATATCCCTGGTGGCTCAGTGGTAAAGAATTTGCATGTCAAGGCAGGAAACACAGGTTTGATCCCTAGGTTGGGAAATGATCCCCAGAGAAGGAAATGGCAACCCACTCCAGTATTCTTGCCTGGGATATCCCATGGATAGAGGAGCCTGAAGGGTCCATGGGGTCACAAAAGAATCGGACATGACTTAGTGACTAAACAACAGTATACATATATATATGTGTGTGTATATATATATATACACACACATATATATATATATATGTATTGGGGGCTTCCCTGGTAGCTCAGCTGGTAAAGAATCTTCCCACAATGTGGGAGACCCCACTTCAATCCTGGGTTGGGAAGATGCCCTGGAGAAGGGAATGGCTACCCACTCCAGTATTCTTGCCTGGAGAATTACATGGACTATATAGTCCATTGGGTTACAAAGAGTGGGACATGACTGAGTGACTTTCACGTTTTCACTCTTCATATATAAAAATAGCTTCAAAACACTTTTCATTTATTGGGATTTACAGTGATAGTTAATCATACTTCTTCACACTAGCTGTCTGACTTTTTTACTTTTTTATCAATAGTATTGGGACTATGTCTACACTTGTCCTTTTAATCCAATAGGTTAATCAAATCAATTTTGTTGGAGGGTTAAAAGTCAAATGAATATCTTGACTGAATAACCTAATTGCTTGACTAGATTGTGGATCATTTTGGTTAAATTGAATAATTTGAGCCACTGTACAGAAATGGCTTCTTGCTTTTCCCACAAAAACTAAATGCCTAGTATTCAGATTGTTGTTTTATATCACATTTGGCATGTTAACTGTGGCTACCCCACTTTTGTAACAGTGTAGATAATCCAGTTACCTTTAGGCATTCATTTAAAAATAGATATGGTTTATAAAGCCAAGAATGAAGAGGACTATGAAAAACTTCAGCAGGAAAAGATTCAGAAAGTTCCTTCCTTACAATTACTAATATTTACTTTAGTTTCCTTTAGGTCAGATCAAACTCTGGGAGGCTAAAGTTGAAGAGGTTGACAGATCCTGCGATTCAGATGAAGATTATGAAGCCAGTGGGCGAAGTCTGTTATCCACACATTACACTATTGTGGTCCATCCCAAAGAGCAAGGTCCAACTTACCTACTAATTGGATCCAAGCATGAAAAGGTATGTAAGGACTAACTGGTTGATTTAGAATGAGTTAGACTAATATGATTAAGAATTGGTAATAATTTTCAAATGAGCATAAGTAGGTACAATCAAGGACTTCCCAAGTGGCTCTGGTGGTAAAGAGCCTTCCTTCCAGTGCAGGTTAGACATGAGACACAGGTTCGTTCTCTGGATTGGGAAGATTCCCTGGAGGAGGCCATGGCAACCCACTCCAGTATTCTTGCCTGGAGAATCCCATGGACAGGGGAGCCTGGAGGGCTGCAGTCCGTATGTTCACACAGAGTTGGACACAACTGAAGCGACATAGCACAGCAAAGCAAGTACAATCAAAGACACATATACATTTATTAGACATAGTATTCTTTTAAAAATAATTTTATTCTAATATATTTCAAACTCAGAAAATATACACCCTTTTTTACTTAACAGATGTTAGATTTCGTGGTATTTTTTAAAAAAAATATTTATTTATTATTTTGGGCTGTGTTAGGTCTTAGTGATCACTAATGATGATTAGTGATGTTGAGCTCCTTTTCGTGTACCTGTTGGCTGTCTATATGTCTTTGGACAAATGATACTCTTCCCATTTTTTAATTGGATTGTTTGTCTTTTTGCCATTGAGTTATATGAGCTTTTTTATATTTTCAATATTAACCCCTTATAAGAAATATGATTTGCAAATATTTTCTCCCATTCAGTAAGTTATCTTTTCATTTTATTGATGATTTCCTTTGCTGTGCAGAAGTTTACTAATTTGATATAATTCTGCATATCTATTTTTGCTTTTGTTGCCTGTGCTTTGGTGTCATAAGAAAGACCAGTCTTATGTCCAGAAGTTTTTTCTAAATGTTTTCTTCCAGGTGTTTTGTGATTTCAGGTTTGATATTTAAGTTTTTATTCCTTTTGGAGTTGATATTGTGTATTGTGTGAGATCAGGGTCCAATTTCTTTCTTTTGCATATGGATACCCAGTTTTCCCAGTACCGTTAATTGAAGAGACTATCCTTTGCCCACTATATGCTTGGCAACCTTATCAAAAATCTGTTGACCATATATGTTTGAGTTTATTTCTAGACTCTATTCTGTCCCATTAGCCTAATAGGACAATCATTAAACCCATTAATGAACTTACTGTCTGTTCTTATTGCAGCACCATACTATTTTGATTATTGTAGCTTGGTGATATATTTTGAATTAGGAAGTATGATCTCCCCAGCTTTGTTCTTCTTGCTCAAAATTGATTTGGCTATTTGGGATTTGTTGTGGTTGCAGATGAATTTTAAGGTTGTTTTTTCTGTTTCTGTTTTTTAAAATTGGGATTTTGATAGAGATTACTTTGAACCTTTATTGGTTGCTTTTGGTAGCATGGACATTTTTAATATTAATTCTTCCAGCCCATGACTGGATGTCTTTCCATTTACTTGTGTCAACTTTAGTTTCTTTCATTAGTATTTTATTGTTTTTGTTGTATGAAGCTTTTGAATTCTAGGTTAAGTTTATTTCTAAGTATTTTATTCCTTTTGTTTTTATTTTGGCTGTTGTTTTGGGATTGTTTTCTTAATTTCCTTTTTAGATAATTCATTGTTAGTGTATATGAACACAATTTTTGTATGTTGATTTTGTGTTCTGCAACTTTGCTGAATTTATTAGTTCTAACAGTGTTTTTATGGAGTCTTTAGGATTTTCAACAAGTAAGATAATGTCATCTGCAAACAGATAATTTTACTTCTGCCTTTCCAATTTGGATGCCTTTTATTTCTTTTTCTTGCCCTATTGCTCTAGCTAGGGCTTCCAGTGGTATGGTGAATAAAAGTGGCAAGAGTGGGCATCCTTGTCTTGTTACAAATCTTATAGGACAAGCTTTCAGGTTTTCATCATTGGGTATGATATCAGCTATTAATTTTTCTTAGATGACCTTTATTGTGTTGAGGTATGTTCCTTCTGGCTTTTAATTCCTTCTTTAAATTTTCTGGACTTCTTAAGTATTTTTTGTGTGTTATTTGTATGTATGAGGAATCAGATTTTAAATTTGATAGAATTTGTTGTAGTCCTTAAAAGGCTATTAATTAGTTATATTTATTCTAGCCTCTTAATGTCATATTACTGTCTTAATTTTCTTATGCTTTTCTAAGAAAATAATTAAAATGTGAACAATGGGAGAAAGGCACTATGAACACAATTCAAATGAGCCTAAGTGGCTTTTAGTTTTATTTAAAAATTAAGAGTTTTTTTTCCAGTGTCAAAGTTTTCTACTGTCTATTCAAGTTGTTTTTTCCTTAAGTCATCAAAAACTGTATCATGGTTAACATCTCTATTAATATGTTTTAATTTTTAAGGACACTTGGCTTTATCACCTGACTGTTGCAGCTGGAAGTAACAATGTGAATGTTGGATCTGAATTTGAACAACTTGTTTGCAAGTTGCTAAATATAGAAGGGGAACCTTGTAAGTTTATAATGTATAAGTCTTTGTGGTTTATGAAATGGACCCTAACCCCCTTTGCCTAGTAGAGTTTTCATTTTGTGGATTCCTATATACCCATTCTTACTGGCTTTGCTTATCATGGACTAGGATTCTCACTGTGGCTCTTCAGCTGCAGGGACACCATCCTTCTTCAACATGCTGTATCCTGTCTCACCTCTCTGCCTTTGCTCGCATTACTCCCTCTGCCTGGACTGCCCTCCCTCCTTCACATTCCCCACCAACCTGATGAAATCCTATGTACCTTAGGAGGTCTCCCATCCAGCCCATCCCAACTCAGCAAATGGCTCATAAAAGTTGCCTAATAAATGTTGAAATTATGTCCCAATGCACTTCACCATTTAACCCTTTCATAGCATTTGTTGCTTTGCATTGAATTTTCTTTTTTTTAATGGCTGAAGTTTCCCCATTGAGAGCCTAGATGCTCTACTTAATAGAGATCACATTTTATTTGTGATCTGGCATAGAAATTCAATAAATGTTGATTTTAGGAATGACTTCAAGTTCTTCTTTATCTTTCTATCTCCTCCTGCTCTAGTTTCTTCTCTGCAACTTGCCCCCAGCTCCCTTGCATATACAGTCATCTCCCTACCTAGGTCACCAATCTTTAGCACATTTAAGCAATATAACCAATGTCCTGGTAGACTTGTTTTGGCCTAGAATATTGTACAAACCTTGTCTAACTTTAATATATCCTAAAGAGAATTATGAGAATGCCAATGGTCTAGAAACTGAAATAAAATAATGTGATCAGAGGTTTTTCATGACTTTTATGACTCAAATTGTGAGCCAGACCTGAATGAGCTAATTTCTAAAGGGCTAATTTAATATGAGGCCCAAATAAGTGATTCTTTCTCTTTCTTATTCACATTTCATTTTGTACGTAGCCTCTCAGATATGGAGACACCCTACTTTGTGTCACAGCAAAGAAGGACTCATTTCCCCTCTGACAACACTACCTTCAGAAGCTCTACAGACAGAAGCAATTAAATTATTTAAGGTAAAACTTTATGTGGCATTATATATCAAAAAAACTTGAAGTTAACCTTTGCCAGGGCTTCCCAAATGGTGCTAGTGGTAAAGAACCTGCCTGCCAATGCAGGGGATGCAAGAGACACAGGTTCGATCCGTGGGTTGGGAAGAACCCCTGGAGAAAGGCACGGCAGCCCACTCCAGTATTCTTGCCTGGAGAATCCTATGGAGAGAGGAGCCTGGTGGGCTACAGTCCATGGGGTCGCAAAGAGTCAGACATGACTGAAGTGACTTAGCACAGCACATATATTGTTAAGCATTTTAATAGGAAAAAATGGAAATCTAGGTTATAAAGTTTCACTGTTTTCAAGAAAATTCAAAATATGATAACAATGACAAAGAAAATATACTGAATTAAAGTCAGATGAATTTAATATGCTTTCTGAATGAGAATTTGAAATTTCTATGATAAACTATGGTTTGGGCCATGTGAAAGACTTAATATCAGAGTCATTTTCTCTTCAGCTTCTCAGATGGAGAGATTTCTGACATCACCATACCTCACTATTGGGAGAGGAGTCGACACTGTTGTTCTTCTCCAATGCTAATATGCTCAAATTCTTACTACTCAACCTCTATTAAGTCCCTGATCACTTGAAACTTGCCAATTATATCATTCTTTACCCCTGCCCCATTATCCCCTGGAGAAGAGCATGGCAACCCACTCTAGTATTCTTGCCTGGAGAATCCCATGGACAGTGGAGCCTGACAGGCTACAGTCCATGGGGTTGCAAAGAGTCCGACACGACTGAGTGACTAAAACTTTCACTTTCATAACACTTTCACTTTCACTTCACTTTCACTTTCCATTATCTCTGTCATCAGTCACCTTCTGGTAACTCCTCAAATTTCATTAAGGATTTTGGCTCCTAACTCACATTCTTTCTCTCTGCCTTAAACTTTGCTATTACACTAAATAACTTTGCTATCACGTTGCTCACCAATGCTATGACCTTAAGATTCCTGACCTTCTCAATGTCAGTAAGCTTGCTGTCTACCCTGCTTCACCTTTCCAATCTCCATGTCCACACCTTGACCCCAAATGCCTCATAAGTACACCACTTCTAAAATCTTAAATCCTAATATATCTTTCTTTAACCATAATCTCTTAGCCCATGAGCTCTCTTACTTTCTTATTCTTCCATTTCTCATCCTCACTAAGACCTTTTTTTGAGTAATTTATTTTCTTTGAGATCAAGAAAGAGCACTATAGTTCCTTGGGACCTATGGTCCCATGCATTCTTCAGCCAAACTCCTGCCAAGATCCCTGCTGTGGTTTTGCCTGCTTCTGTATTAATTGCATGTGTAATGTTAGAGAGCATCAAATAGCTGTGTGGACTAGAGCCTATGTGACTCTATGGTCTTCATTCCTCAGGGCCAGCTGTCTCTCTTTGCTTGTCTTTGGTCACATCCCTTCAAACTCCCTACTCAATAATGCTCCCCAGAACAAATTTAATTTCATTGGAAAAATTAGAGGGCATCACAAATGATCACCTCGAATCTCTCATCCCAAGAGACTGTTTCATCTGTTTCTTCCTCCATTACTTCAGTCTCAGAATGTAATGTATCTTCTGTGGATTCTTGTCTTGACTCTGTGCTGGCACCTTGGTACTTCATTTTCCCCTTAGTCTCTTAGAGTCTTCAGTTTTTATCTCTTCTTTCTCTTTTTCTTGCCTATATTCCTCCCATCTCAAAAAATTATTTGCTTACTAGATAATACTAGGGAATTGTTAATTTGGGAAGTGGATGATGATGACATGATGCTTACGTGGAAAAATCTGTGTCAGTTGGAGATCCCTACTGAAGTATTAGTAAAATAACATGATATACATTAAAATACTACAGAAAAAAGCGAGGACAGGGATTGAATGAAACAGATATGGCAAAATGCTTGTTAACAGCTGTTGACACTAGGTAATGGGTACATTATACTATTCTCTCTACTTTTGTTCATGTTTTAAAAATACCATCATAGAGTGTTTTTAAAAATCCACCTGTAGAATGCACAAATACCCGAAGTAAGACAGACTTTATACAAATATATTTGAAAATCTGGATGAAGTGATCAACTATATAACAAAACATAAGTGGCCAAAACCAATTACACAGGTGAATAAAAATTTAAACAGGGGAATTTACCAGACTTTGTAAGTATAGATAATTTCAGTGCTGTTCAAGGTGTCCCAAAGCATAGGAAAGAAAGAAATTTTGCAAAATTTTTTTCTTTTACTTTGTTTAGGGTAAGGCTCAAAGCTTATGTATATATATCAAACATATGTAAGAGTAGAGAGAATATTATAAAGTATAAGATGCTACCATCCAGCTCCACAGTTGTCAACCTATGACCAGCTTTGTTTTATTCTCCCCATCTCTAGTGCTCCCCAAGACTAGGTTATTTTGAAGCAATTCTCAGTCATCATGTCACTAGATTCACTTTGTGAAGTAAGTAGTATTTTTATACCAAACCCCAGAAAATATTATAGAAAACAGGGCATTTCATACAAAAACTAATCAAATATTAGTAAACAGACCCCAACATCATTTTAAAAGAATACTAATCCTCGGACATATGTATGCTTATGACTGATGCATGTTGATGTCTGGCAGAAATCAGCACAATATTGTAAAGCAATTATCCTTCAATTAAAAATAAATTAAAAAAAATAATACTAATCATGACTAAGAGAAATTTATTCCTGACCATACTAATAATTGGCTTCCCAGGTGGGTCAGTGGTAAAGAATTCACCTGCCAAGCAGGAGACACGGGTTCGATCCCTGGGTCGGTAAGATCTCCTGAAGAAGGAAATGACAACCATACTCCAGTATTCTTGCCTGGGAAATCCCATGGACAGAGGAGCCTGGCAGGCTACAGTCTGTGGGGTCACAAAAGAGTTGGATGTGACCTAAAGACTGAGCAACAACAACATACTAATAATAATCAATTTAAATGGTCTAAACATTCCAACTACAAGGTAGAAATTGTCAGAATGTATAAAAAAGCAAGATCCAACTATATCCTATCACAAGCAGTACTTTTTTTGTTTCCTGACATTTCTTATAAGAAAAAAAAGACTAACATTTTAAAATAGCTCTCGCAAAAGATTTCACTCCCAGAACTTTGTTTTACTCTCAAATTTCAATGTCACTAATAAGCCCAATGTATTTAATTCATTGAAACAAATATACATGTAAAGCACCATAACTAAAGTTATTTGATACATTTATAACAGTGATTTGGGGTTGTTAAATTAGCATGCATATATTTTTCAGAATTCATAGAACATTTTATGAGTATTGAAGCTGCTTCCCATGCCTTTAGGCAATCCATCCCAAACTTCCTCAAGCAAGAGTAGCTACTTCTCTAGTCAAGATCAAAATGAAATTTCACAGTTTTATTACAATGAACTGTTAAAATGAAGAATGATAAGTATTAATATCCTAGTTTGGAAAATGTCTAGGAAAGATTATGCTATAACCTTTTCCTAGTAACCTACTCTAAAATTTAATCTCTTTGGAGGAAAAATACTATGTATTTACATTCACTTTAAGTTATTTAGGCTACTATTTCCCAAAATACTTTCCTCAGTAAACTAGTTCTTAAAGATGCCAATTGATATTACTAGAAAAAAAATAAAGATGAGGAGGGGTTGAACTCTGTTCTGTGTAGAGAGTATAAACATAAACAAGAAAATGTCTTTATGAAGTTTGTATTCCAGTAGACTCTAAAGGCTATTAATGTTCCATATGCCTTTAAAAAGAATGCACATTCTGCTCAGAGGTGGACTATTCTACAAATTAGGTCAGATTGATTGATAGTATTGTTTAGGTTTTCTAAATCCATACTGATTTTTCTACCTACTTGTTCTCTCAGATGTTGACAGGGGGGTATTGCAGTCTCTCACTTTAATTGTGAATTTTGTCTATTTCTCCTTACAGTCCTATAAGTGGTTACATCACGTATTTTGAAGCTATATTATTAAAACATTTAGAATTGTGATCCCTTCTAGATGAGCTGACCCCTTTATCATTACAAAATGACCCTCTTTATCTCTGGCAGAATTCCTTGCCTGGAAATCTACTTTGTCTGATATTAATGTCACCATTCCAGATTTCTTTTGATTAGTGTTATCACAATATATCTTTTCCGTCCTTTTATTTATTTATTTTTCAGTTTTTCCATCCTTTTAAACAAAAACTTTTGCTAGTAAGAGAATCAATATAATTCATGCAGAATAAATCTTACCATTTCTCACCCTGAGTATATCTATTTTTTTCATTTAATTCAGACCTGCCAACTTTTTATAAATGCAGCAGTCGACTCTCCCGCAATTGATTACCACATATCTCTAGCCCAGAGTGCTTTGCAAATCTGTCTGACACATCCTGAGCTACAGAATGAAATTTGCTGTCAGCTCATTAAACAGACAAGATGGAGACAGCCACAGAATCAACCAGGACCTCTGCAGGTATGTGTTGATACATATACATGCAATTTTGAATGATGTTGTTTTCCTGATTGTAAGTGTAATACATATTCAATATAGACATTTGGAAAATACAAGAAGTATGAAATGGAAAAATAATTATTACTATTTTGAAGTATATCCTTTCAGTTTCTATAATCTATATATAAATGTTTATATGTGTATATTTATGCACTCACAGTTTTTCACATTACTAACATTACCATGTGCATATACTTTTTAAAAACTATAAAACATAGTCATTTCCCCTATAGCTTTCAGCAGTCTTCAAAACATTAATACTAGTTGCTTTAATATCAACTGCTATACGTTTAGGTTTTTCCAATTACTTTTCCTATGATAAATACCACTACAGTAGACATCTTTGAACCTAAATTTTGTGTGCAAGTCCAGTGAATTTCATTGTGTCCACTTCTAGAATTTTCCACATCTTCAACAATATTCAGTGTAATTCTTCTGTTAATTTCTTTTCAGGTAAAAAGTAGTACTTCACTATTGATTTTGGATACATTTCCTTAATTATTACAGTCAGATTTATTTTCAGGAGGGTTTTAGTCACTTGTGTTTGCTCTTCAATGAATGCTTCTTTAAATATATACTCACTGACTCCCTGTCAATCACAGGATAAAATAGAAATTTCTTACCTTAGACTCTTGGGAGTGGACCTAGGTTTTGTGGGACTTGAAACTTGTACAATGAATACTAAGAAAAAGAAAACAATATTTATTACTTTTACACATTTTAAAAGAACAAATGAGCATGTCATATGACTATGACAGCTCATAGGGCCTGTCCTAGGTATTTGGAGGGGACTTTTTTTGTATTGAGCGGGGTTCTGAAACTTAACCTTCATGTCTATCGGGGGCCCTTCATAATCTGACTCCAGTGGCCTCCTCTTTCTCCACTTCATTTTATATATCCTGTTTCCAGTGTACATTGAATGAATAAACTCTCTTCATTCTTCGAACAACCCTGCCTTTCATTATCCTTCACCTGGAAACCAGATCCCTCTGCATTCTTCCTACCTGTGGACTTCACAGTCCAACCCAAGCAACATCCCTCCTGTAGATTCTTTCCTGACTCCCACATCAGTAATCATTCCGTCCATTGGTCATACTTTAAAAAACATTATTACAGTGTATTAGTGGTGCTGTATTATAGATTACTGTTTAAATATATATATAATGTCTTCTAGATCATAAATTCTTCAAGGGCAGGGCCTTTCCCTCTTTTCCTTTTTTTGTATGACATTAAAAAAAATATTATAGTTATACTTACTTAATTTAAAGAAATTAAGATATAAAATAGAATACAAGCAAGAGAATAATAAAAGTCATATATACCTCTATTACCTAGAGATACCTCTGTTAATATATTTGTGCTTGCCCCTTGTTTAGCTATGTATGTATGTATGGGTACATCTGTTCTGCTTTTTGTATAAATTATTTTTTAGTACTTTTCAATTTGCCCTTTCTTAGTGCCATTACTTATATTTCAGTGAAAGAGTTAACGCATAAATGAACAAAAGGGAACAATTTCCCTAACCTTGTGTAATATCAAAAAGGATTACCATATGATATCCTCTGATACCTCAGTTGTAGACAACTGTGTACATAACTAGATGGATTATGGTTCTGACCCAATATGAAGCTTTTATGCTTTTATGTATTATAAATGCTCTAAGGAGATGATGTCTATGTGGAAAAAAGCAAAAACATCTTGGGATCAACAAAGACTGTCATCACCCCTTCGCTCTCACTTCCTCTCTCGGTCACACTCCCCCTGACTTATGTCTCTGATGACCACGTGGTGTCTAACCTGTGATGCTTCTCTTTGCCCAGGGCTGGCAACTCTTGGCGCTCTGTGTTGGGCTCTTCCTTCCCCATCATCCTTTCCTGTGGCTCCTCAGGCTCCACCTAAAGAGAAGTGCAGATTCCAGGTATGCAGAGTTCTAGACAGCTGTACCATTTACGTGGCCTCTGTGTCTGCAATAAATCATAGGTATTTAGTAACCTGCCAGGTACATTTGTGGAAGAATGTGTGAAACAAATGTTGATACAGGAAGCCTTTGGTTATCATTTATGCAGAGCTAGAAAAATATTTCCTTTGTTACGTTAAATTTCTCATGGAAGGTTGCACTAAAAGCTTGAAAAGCTGACAAAGAATATTTTAAGTTAATAGTCTATGTAGATTTCAAGTATGAATGTCTTATTGTTAGTGGGTGTTCATCCAACAAAAGCAACTATTTTGTTTCCTTATTTTTTCTATTACTATTTTCTTCACATTTAATTCTTTTATATAGAAGACTTTTCTGATAGTCTTCCCACCTTTTATAATTGTATGTATTTGAATTACCTCAGAATTTTTACTCCTTTGAAAAAGACTTTTCCAATTCACTGTTAGAATGACTTTCTTACAGTGGGGCCTAGGGTGTCCAGCCAAGGGTGATTGGGATCATTTTGTCCAAGAGGTTCATATTAGGTTGTTTAAATAGACTCTGGGACTCAAACAAACAAACGGTGAAACGAAAAAGCAGCTTGGAAGCAGAGGGAAAATACCTTCCAGCTCATGTGTCTTTGGGGACTCTGTCATCAGGGTCATGTGATTACAGTTGTAGTCACTGAGAACCACCTGCCCCCTACAAAGTGAGATTTTAAAGCCCACCTAAAAGGCACTTGAATGCACATATATGTAGGTACATTATCAATCTGCTTTTATAAATGAAATAAAAATTATATGTAACAAATAAGGACAAATAAGATCTCTATCCAGCTTTTACTGGATTTATTTACCCCAGCAGTTTTGTTTAATGCTTAATATTTTTAAAGAAGTACATGTTTTATAAAGAAGGAATATTTATTTATTTATTTGGCTGGGCCAGGTCTTAGCTGTGACATGTAGGATCTAGTCCCCTGACCACATCAAACCTGGACCCCCTGCATTGGGAGCACAGAATCTTAGCCACTGGACCACCAGGGAAGTCCCAAGGAAAATACATTTTTATTTTTGTTTGAAGATATTTTCTTATCTTGCTCAGCAGGAATGGCATTAACTTCTTTGTTCTTCAAAAGAGAACTCTCTTCATCATGCACTCCTTATGTTATCCTGTTCTAGTCTTTATACAGTTACTTTCTTTATATTTGTTAATATAATCACTGTATGTTGACCATGTAATGTCTGGTAATTTTAAATTTATTTTGTGATTATAATAATACAATAATGATGAAGATTGCTTTGTGGGAAGTGTGTGGCGAAAGTAAAGACACTAGAATTTGAGAAAAGTGACAGCAGTTAATATTATCACTCAATAAAGACAATATTATATTAATATATATCAGTCTTATTTAATATTTAGTTTATATTATTGTGATTATGATAATTAACATTATATAATATTAATGTATATTAATATAGCAGTTAATATTATCATTCAATGATAATGTAATATTATGCTGTCAACATTAGCATGATACATTGTAATAATGTACACCAAGGAAAGTTTCCATAATGGTTGCATATATCTTAATTAAATTTATTCTTAGGTTTTATCTTAAGTTTTGTATTATAGGACAGAATTTGGAAAATATGCCATTTACTGCCAGAGATGTGTAGAAAGAACACAACAGAATGGAGATCGAGAAGCAAGACCCTCAAGAATGGAGATTCTTTCCACCCTTCTTCGAAACCCATATCATCATTCTTTGCCCTTCAGCATCCCTGTGCACTTCATGAATGGAATATATCAGGTAGATTAGACTTTCTACCCAATGAACACGTGCTTAGCCCAGAATCCTGTGTATAACCTCTGTGGTGTTGAGAGGTGGGACTCTCACCCTACTTCTGTCAGCAGCTGGCAATGATAAACATGCAAATATATTAGATTTTCTGTCAGGACAGTTGAGTTTTGAAACAGTTTTGCTAAAAAACGATGCACACTAAAATATCCATATTGAATGAAATAAGGGAGGATTTTCATTACCATTGTAATTCTGATGGAGAAAAGCAAAATTACTTCAGTTGAGGGCTTCCCCCAGCAGTATACTGGCTAGGTGAGGAAATGATTACTGACATGGGACGTGTACAGGTTTAGTCCCTTTAAAGTCTCCACATCTTAGGAATTCTCTGGGAAAACTGTCCAGGCCCTTCCAACTCACATCTAGGTGATTGCCTATTAACTAGCAAATGTATTCCAAAGCTGGCAGTTAGTCTTTGTAGCTCTAAGCCTTTTATCATGGAATTCAGATACTTAACTGCATATTAAAGAAACAAAATTAAATGCTTAAAAGTGTTCATATGTTTAAGTGTGTTTCTTTTTTGTTTTTTTTTTTCCCTTTGCTTGAAGATTACATACTGTTCTGTAGTTCCTAATGGGCCAGCATAATATCCCTGCAAGAGGTTTATAGCTCTCAAATGATCTTTCTATTTTGAATTCATGTCTATTGGCTGAAACCAGGAATTCTTATGTCAGGCTAATGACTAAGATGACATTAATTTTCTCCAGTGGAACTTTGAAAAAAGTTAAAGCACCTAGATAAATATATGTTATTAATTGTGCATCATGTATGCCCTGTTTCCCCCCTGAAATCTAGGTTTGAAATGTCTGTACCTTTTTATTAAGAGAATGACTATGTTGTTTCTGTTTAGGTCGTTGGATTTGATGCATCCACCACAGTGGAAGAGTTTTTGAATACTTTGAACCAAGATACAGGAATGAGGAAGCCAGCACAGTCTGGATTTGCATTGTTCACAGATGATCCTTCCGGCAGGGATTTAGAGCATTGTCTTCAAGGAAACATCAAGGTAAAACCAACTCCTTTTAAGGAGGCAGACCCAGCAAACAGCAAAGAAGTTATTCTGCTATTTGCAAAAAGTTTAGTTCAAGAATTTTCCAAAAATATAAGCAATCTAATCTTCATAATAAAAAAATATTTTTGGACTTTGTTGAAGCCAAGGAATTCTGAACAAAATCTGTACACACATAAATTGTTAGTGTTGTTTAGTTGCTAAGTGGTGTCCGACTTTCTGTGACCCCAGAGACTGTATCCCACCAGGTTCTTCTGTCCATGGGATTTTCCAAGCAAGAATACTGGAGTGGGTTGCCATTTCCTACTGCAGGGGATATTCCTGACCCAGAGATCAAACCCACATCTCCTGCATTGGCAGGCAGATTTTTTTACCACTGAGCCACCAGGGAAACCCCTCACACACATACATCCTACATGTTAAAGAGAGGAAGCGGATTAATAATAGTAATAATACCCTAAATATTAAGGTAGAAAGAGTGGAGGTATGGAAGCTCTAATAAAATGGCTTTCCATTTTATTCATTCACTCAGCAGTATCCATTTAACTGTATATTGTGTCCCAGGGCTTCCTGGGTAGCACAGTGGTGAAGAATCTGCCTGTCAATGCAGGGGATACAAGAGATGCAGGTTTGATCTCTGGGTCAGAAAGATCCTCTTGGGTAGTAAATGACAACCCACTCCAGTATTCTTGCCTGGAAAATTCCACAGACAGAGAAACCTGGCAGGCTGCAGTCCATAGGGTTGCCAAAAGTTGGACACGACTGTACACTCACACATACACATTGTGTCCCAGGAGCTGGAGCAGACCCTTTGGGGAATATAAAGGAGGAACAGAAATATTCCCTGCGCATAGGGAACTCCTAATCTGCTAGGGAAGAGTAGCCTTATACACTGATAACCTTAAAATTGAAAATGATAAATAGTTTAAGAATGTGGTGCACATTCTACAGAGGAAAAGATTACATTCAGTGGAAATTAGGGAAGAGCTCATCTGGACTTTGACTGGTAGAAAATGCACCAGGCTTCCATGGTGGCTCAGATGGTAAAGAAACTGCTTGCAATGTGAGAGACCCAGGTTCGGTTCCTGGGTCGGGAAGATCCCCTGGAGAAGGAAATGGCAACCCACTCCAGTATTCTTGCCTGGAGAATCCCATGGACTGAAGAGCCTGGTGGGCTTCACTCCATGGGGTTGCAAGGAGTCAGACCTGACTGAGTAACTAACACACACAAGAAAATGCACTTGTGGAAATAAAGAAGCGATTCCAGACATAGGGAAGATCATGAGCAAAGACAGAAAATTGGAAGAGTCTTTAAAAGTGTTTTTTTTCTAGGTCATAGTAAAATAGCTTTAATGAAGTTTCCATCTAGCAATGGCAACGATTAAAAACATAGGATACAGAACCATAAGGAACCTTAGAGAAATAACCCACTTATTTTGCAAATGAGGAAACCAAGGCCTAGAATGAAAAATAATTTCTGGCAAATCAAATAGCTGGAACCAGGTCTGGATCCTCATACTTGGCATGGTCCTTATTGCTCTTAGGAATAAGTACCTTGTTATGGAGTACTTCTCTGATTTGGAGATGAAATATTTGGGGCAAAGCAATCAATGCACCCATAAGTTCAGAGCATATAAAACATCAGTACTTTCATTTAACTCCCAAAGCCTAGCTGCATTTGCAGAATGATCTGTTGGATCTCCATGGGTTAAATATGCAGTATGTTAAAACTCATACTTAGTTCCTTAGGAGTGCTGGTCAGAAGATAGGATTTCCACCCCACTCCCACCTGTTTCTTCAGCTGCATTTTGAGGCATCTAGATAAATGAATGTCTTTTTCTTTGCAGTTTCAAGTATATCCTGTTCAGATCAACAATTCCAAATGTAAATTTTTGAGACAGACATCCCTTGAATACTTTTAATAATTGATCAAGAAGATAAGCTAGTATTTTTGGTTGACTTGAACTGAGTAAATATCAGGGGCTTTGATGAATAATTGCTTACGCCATAATTTTAAAAACTTTTATTTATTATTCTGTAAATGACAAGATTTTTTAAAATTTATCTTGTTCCTGAAGACTTTTTGTTCTTTCCCCAAGAACCTTAACATTATATTTCAGAGTCCTTTGATATAACTTCAGTTATTCCAATCTTTTTAAACTCAGAAGGCGGAAAAGTTGCTTTTCGGTGACTAAATCATGAAAAAATTCCTGGAATCTTCTTGTTTCCAGTCTCATGCAATCCTTCATTAAGTTTCCTTTTTGAGTAAAAAATTCATGGCCATAGTCCAAAGTTAATGTGTGTCCGAAAGGATAAGAGGGCCAAAGAGTGATTTATAATTAAATTCTAAACTCAGAGCTGCAGAAGCTTAAAACAGAAAGCTTCAGTCCATTTGGTTTGATTGTATTAATTGAAAATTTTCAGTCTGTAGACATGCTTGTCTTCAAAAAATACCCAGTGTGAAAAACATTATGAATCTCCATTTTCTACTTCCCTTCTAGATTTGTGACATTATCTCTAAATGGGAACAGGCTTCTAAAGAACAACAGCCTGGAAAATGGGAAGGTACGAGAACTGTTCGTCTCACTTATAAAAACAGGTGTGTAATACCATCGCCAAGAGCCAAAGAGTATACACTTATTTTCAAATCATGTACCTAAAATTTAGTTTCCTGTTTAATAGCCTTAAAAGTTACATTTATTTATATGTTTTCCTGAAATGGTAGCTCTATTTCTGTAGGAAGAAACTGTCACCTAAAATTTTGTCTCTAATTGTACTAATATCATGAGTAATTATGTCTTATAAAAATATGTATTTGGACAAAGATTAGAAGAAAACTATAAGGAAAAAAGTAGTTGCTCTCTTAGGCAGTTGATACAGTTTTTCACTTTCAAAATTTCCTTTAACACTAATATTACATTTTTTCCATAAGACTGAATATTCAAATATCCTACTGCAGATCTGTAATAAGAATCATTTGTTTCCCAAATCTTTTAGAAGTGGTATGTTCATATTCATTCATTCTTGTTCTTTCATATTCTCTCTTCCTCTGTATTTATTGAGCTTCATCTGTAAGCCCAGCACTTAGCTGGATGCTTTGGATGAAATGATAATAAACACACACACACAATCCCTGATCTTTTGGAATTTACAGGCTAGTGAGGAAGATAGTTGCTAATTTTTCTCTGAAAGAAAAGCACATGTCTGTGTGAGAACACTTAACAAGAATCCTGTCCTAGACTGAGGGCTTTGGGAGGTTTCTTTGAGGAAATGATGCTTATGTCAAGGTCAGAAGGAGGCTGAGAGTGAAAGCATTGAAACCAGTAGAAAAGGATATACAAGGCCTGTAGAAGGAGGCTGAGCAGTGTTTCAGGAACTGGGAAAGAGCTGGTAGGACTTGCTCAACAAATAAAATTTATTTCGGTATTTATTGATTGATTTTTGGCTATGCCAGGTCTTTGTTGCTCTGCAAGGACTTTCTCTAGCTGCGATCCATGGGTTTCCCATTGTGACGGCGTCTCCTGCTGCCAAGCGCAGGCTCCGGAGCACAGGCGCTCAGTAGTTGTAGTGCTTGGGCTTAGTTGCCGCTTGGCGCGTGGGCTCTTCACGTGCTCAGTAGTTGTAGTAGTGCTTGGGCTTAGTTGCCGCTTGGCGCGTGGGCTCTTCACGTGCTCAGTAGTAGTTGTAGTGCTTGGGCTTAGTTGCTGCTTGGCACGTGGGCTCTTCACGTGCTCAGTAGTTGTAGTGCTTGGGCTTAGTTGCCGCTTGGCGCGTGGGCTCTTCACGTGCTCAATAGTTGTAGTAGTGCTTGGGCTTAGTTGCCGCTTGGCGCGTGGGCTCTTCACGTGCTCAGTAGTAGTTGTAGTGCTTGGGCTTAGTTGCCGCTTGGCGCGTGGGCTCTTCACGTGCTCAGTAGTTGTAGTAGTACTTGGGTTTAGTTGCCGCTTGGCGCGTGGGCTCTTCACGTGCTCAGTAGTTGTAGTAGTGCTTGGGCTTAGTTGCCGCTTGGCGCGTGGGCTCTTCACGTGCTCAGTAGTTGTAGTGCTTGGGCTTAGTTGCCGCTTGGCGCGTGGGCTCTTCCCAGACCAGGGTTCATACCCATGTGTCCGGCACGGGCAGGTGGATTCTTAACCACCGGACCACCAGAGAAGCCCACAACAGGTACAGTTTTAATAGACTTTAGCATATGGTCAGAAACTAGGGTTTTCTTTATTCTTTTTTTAAAAACAAAAAAAAAAACAAGACAAAAAAACCACTTCTTTTCTTCCATGTTATGAGCAGAAGGTGGTATTTAATAAACAGTGTTCACTGACCAGGTCTCATTAACTGTACAACAACAGCAAAAACAAAAAATGTATTTTGCTTCTTTTATTTGACTCTTATACTTCATAAAATAAGGGATCTAAGATATCAGAGTAAGAGCCTGGTAGAATGATTGCTGTAGTCTTGACTTTAAAATTTTTAGAGGCCTACTTTTGGAATATGTTCCTAGCTCTGATATTGAGATGTAAGAAGTAAAGTTACTACATAACAGAAAGAATATAACAGCCTTTGATCCAGTTCAGGATCTCTTTTTCTGATCATTTATCCCAGAGAAATACCCACATAAGTGGGAAAGAGTATTCCAGTAATTTTTGTAACAGTGAAAAATAAATGTGTTACGGGACACATGTTTATTAGTAGGAGAATGGTTAAATAAATATTGTGCATTCATACTGTGGATTCCTCTCATACACCCAGCCACTAAAAGGCCACCACTGTTTGAACAGACTCCTTTGGTCTGAATAAAAGGTCCAGGTGGCGGTAGTAATAAAGAACCCACTCATCAGTGCAGGAGACCTAAGAGATAACATGTTCAATCCTTGGGTCGGGAAGATCCCCTGGAGAAGGGAATGGCAACCCACTCCAGTATTCTTGCCTAGACAACTCCATGGACAGAGGAACCTGGCTGGCTAAGGTCCATAGGATCGCAAAGAGTTGGGCATCACTGAAGCGACTTAGCACATGAGCCACTAGAGCCTCTCTGTTCAGGGATTCATGAGCTGAGTAGATTCACAAGAGTTCTGGGTAATGAGACAGTGACTGCTGAGCTTTGGTATCTAAGATTTTAAAATCCTGTGCTCCTAGAGATAATGCTGGATTACTTAGGTAGTAAAAATCGAACAGGCTCTCGTCCTGGAGGAATCTGTTTCCACCCTGGCCCTTTTGTGACTGGCATGAAACAGCAGCTGGAAGTTAGGACTTTCTAGATGATTGTTTTAGTTCTGTGGTCGCTGGGAGCAGTGATTCTCAAAGTGTGGGTCCTGGATCTGCAGCTTCAGTATCACATGGAAACATATTGAAATGCCCATTATTTGGTCCCACTTCAGACCTATTGAATTAGAATCTCTGGGGAAAAGGCCCCAGAGTCTGTGTTTTAACAGTTCTCCAGGTGATTCTTACTCATGCTAAATTTGGAGAAGCACTGATCCAGAGGTCCATGTTGCTGCCTGTATCTTTAGTGGAAGGAAGCCAGTGCCTGGACCTGACCTGCTTGGTTTTTTTATGTATTTAGAAGAGGTTCAGGAATTCTCATTTGGTTTTGTTGGCACTAAATGGAGTTATGTCTGTGTCTAAAGACTATTGCTAATAATGCATATCTTACAAATGCTGAATACATACTGATTTTGACTATGATGGCCACAGTTGGAACCAAAATTAAATGGATGAAATGGAGAAAGGTGGTCTGAAAGAGACATAAGAATAATGTGCCAGCTCTAGCAAATTCCACCAGGAAGGACAAAAGCAGTCATGAATAACACATTGCCTTGTTAGCAAAGAAAAAAAACACAAACAATTTCATGACAGTATCTTTAACATCAGAAGAAAAGCAATTCAACTATAAGGTTTAATCTTTAACAGAAATCTGAAATGGCTGGGTAGCCACAGCTATGAGAAAGTACTGTTTCTAAATGTGATCATGCTTTGCCTATGTGTATAAATAGCTTAGGAAATGAGCCCTAATGCCCAGTGACACAGTTAAGAGGGGAACTGGCTGGAACCTACCACACAGCTACAGACTTGATTCTTCATCTGTCAAGCAGCATTGTGATAAGCAAAACTAAAGCACCGCCTCTCTTTATCATGGAATTTTTATTTATGTTTAGTAAGGTATAGAATTTTAATTATTTAGATTAGACGTTAAAGATATAATTAATAGGTTTTGAACTTATTCTCATTTGGAAAACTCTGGTAATAAAACTATTTGGTAATGTTTAAATTCTACTCATATCTATTAATAAACCACTTATTTAATTTGGTTTCTTATTGTCTATTTGAAATTCCAAAATCAAGGCATGTTTTTAACAAAACTAAGCTGGCAAGGGTCTTTCCCTATAGAGAACAGCTCTTCTTTCTCCCCTCTTTGAAACAAAAGTTTATTATCAATAATTCTGTGTTATTATTCTCTGGATCATAGTTTAAGGTTCCCATCTCTGCCACCTTTAGTGCACTGTGAGAGCATGAATGTTGAATCCTAAACCAAGAAGCCTCTTGACAGGTCACCTAGTTTATCCCATTTCTTCCAGCTGTGTTCATGCCAAAAAAAAAAAAAGCTTCCTGTATGAAGAGACTGTTGTGAGTCTAAAGACCTCTAGAGAAGAATCATTATCATAGTAGTAGTAATAATAACTACCACCAGTATTTATTGAGCACTTAACCATATACCAGGCCCTGTGCTGAGCTCTTTATATGCATCATCTCATTTAATCCTAACAGCACCTCTCAGTAGTATTATCATCATCTCTATATTATAGATGAGGAAACTGAAGCTTTAGAGAGTTAAACCACTTACCCAAGGCTACAGAAGGATTTTTCCAGGTTTTTCTGGCAAATAATTTCCATATTTTTCAATTCTCACCACCATTCATTTATCCATTCATGCCATAAACATCTCTCCAGTGTCTGCCAGTGCCAGGTCTTATTGAAGCCCTAGAGATTCAAAAGTGAATAGATGTTTCCTGCCTTCTAGAATCTTACAGCTCATGTAAGTCATGAATTCTTAGTAATGAGACTAATGCCGTAGCAGTCACACTCTAGCGGAGCAGTGAAGAACATGGCCTCAGAGAGAAACTGCTGGATTAGCATCCTGGCTCCCCCACTTACTCTGTGGCCATGAGCAAGTCACTCACCATCTCTGGGCCTCAGGTCCCCTCAACGTGAAATGGAGATGGAAACAGTACCTACTTAGGGTCACCTGGAGGACTAAATGTTAGCAGGTGTAAAGCAGTTGGATCAGGGCCTGCTTACACAGTAGATGCCCCAATGATATTCACTCTTACTGTGAATATAACATGTCTGTGTGCCAGATGTTGTGGGAGCAGAGAGGAAGGCTTTGCACTAGATGACTCCTGAGCACAGGACTAGAGGTGGTGGCCGTAGAAGCCGGGGGAGAACAGGGAAAGGGGGACGGGTCACATGGCAGGTTTTGTAGTGTTATCAGCAGGCCATGGTTTATGTGGTGATGAGAAAGGCAACAGTAGGAAACACATGCTCTGAGGACTGAAATCTGGAGCTGGTTGGAGGCTAGCTAAAGGACCACCCAGCAGTACCGGGAGAGCTCTGCCTCATTTGCAGTGGTGTGTGTTTGCTGATACTGGTCCACATAGTGATGTGGTTTCCATCACACAGTATTCAGTTTCCTCGATGTCAAGGGAGGACATTTGGGAATGCCCCTGCCAGCCAACATGTGCCCTCCTGCTATGACAGAAGCCCCACTTCTCTGCTTCCGACCCCTTCAGGATTGGGGAGCAGTTGGAAGCTAGTCATATTGGGACAGACTTAAGAGTGTGTTCCCTGGGGCCTTTCCTATTCAAGATCCATGGGTTTGATTTTCTGACTTCTTTGTCATTTGGGGGACTCGTTAGTTCCTCTCCACATTCTCTCCAAATCCCTGTATAGTTGTTAGAGCCCAGGCTGTTCCATTAGGGGCTTGAGCCTGTGATTCCTACAAGTTGTGTTTCTGTATGTGTGTCTGGAATTGTTTTTCTCTTTTGTGCCCATACTGCTTCATCTTCCCTTCCCAGGTGCAGTCTCACTGGCAAGCCACAAATGATAGAAGATACACTTCAGATCTTCTTGTCTGTAGCCATCTGAACATTTAGTTCTTTTCTCCCTCCTATTGTATTACCAATTCAAACTTTTACTAAGAACCTTCCAGTGGCTACACTTAGCTAAATAAACCCTAGTGCATGATAGTGATGAATAAAACATAGTTCTTAACTTCAAGTAAATGAAATATGCTACAAAAATGTTCACATGCCAGAAAAGGAGGGCTTTCATCTTAAATTTTATTCTTTTTGTTCTATATCCCTTTGTTGACATCATTTTGAATTTAGAATCTCTTTCTGTTACCCAACCATATTCTTCTACCAGTTAACAGTTTGCCATCATGCAGACACAGATAATTATTTTTTTCAAGAAATCACTCTGAATGATGGGCCAGGCCAATGACTCTTAAGCTGGCGTGAACAGAAAGAATTATCAGAACGATGGGGAAGAAGAGCTTTTCAAAGTACACCCCCTTCCCATGCTTCCCCTGAGATTCTGGCCTGCTGCCCTCTCATTTCTTGCTATTTGAGATAATTACCATGAGAAATTTTGTAACTGATGATAGTGTGTCCTCTTCTTCAAGTGGATGGGGAAAAAAGGCTGGAAATCCAGTTACAGTTAATTGAGCACACACCTGACAAATGTCGGATCTAAATCTCTTTTCCTGCCACGGTGTTGTCATGACAATGTTAAGGCATGTCACCGTGCTGCTCACCCGCCCCACTGTCGCAGCATTTACAGTGTTTACAGGGCTCTCTGCCTGCTCTGTAGCCTAGAGTCAGAGCCTCAGAAACCTCATATAAAGAAGTGGCCCAGGACTTCCCTAGCGGTCCAGTGGTTAAGAATCTTCCTTGCAATACAGAGGACACGGGTTCAGTCTCTGGTTGGGGAACTGAGATCCCACATGCTGCAGGGCAACTAAGCTGGTGCACCACAACTAGAGAGACTCCACATGCCACAAGGAAAGATCCGCATGGTGCAAAGAAGATTCTGCATGATGCATCTAAGATCCAACACAGCCAAATAAATAAATAAAATTTAAAAGAACAAAGAAACAGTACAGTGATTAAATACAGAAGGTCACTAAATCAATGAAGACCTAGGTGAACAAAAGCCAGATCATATTTCAACAAGTAATAATGGTAGCATGTAAACTATATTTGAGATCCTAGGGCTGCTTATCAGAATGTGGCAAAAAAAAAAAAAAGTCAGAACATTTAAATGTGCAATTACTTTTAGATAGATGTACCATCTTTTAGATTCCTGGAGAAAACTGCCCCCGTTTGACCATTTGATATTGATTTTTAATTGAAACCTTCATTTCCTATTCCCTGTTATGTCCAAGGTGTGTAGGAAAGATCAGGAGTGTTTTTAAAATTGGGTTGATACAGCCCACTGGTGTCAGGTCCTTCCTCAGTAGCAGCTAAGGTATTTCAGGGCATAAAAATAGCATAGAAGCACCCCTCAACCTCAGCTTCAGAGCAGTTTTTCTCAGTTTGCTGGTAAATGTTATAAAGAATAGAAACAGAGTTCATCAACAGATCGTAATGTTTGTATCACTGAGAGAACTATTGTTAGAACAACCCCATATCAGTCCTCTGGATTTCTCTTTACCTTCTTCTTTTGTAAGTGTATCATTTAATGAAAAATTTCCTCTTTTTTTACAGATTATATTTCTCAATGCAAGTTCGAGGAGAGACTGAGAGAGAAAAGTTGCTGTTGATGTATCAGACAAATGACCAAATAGTAAATGGACTTTTTCCTCTGAACAGGGACCTGGCATTAGAAATGGCAGCTCTTTTAGCTCAGGTACCTTCCATGTTATGTAGAGCAATATTTTGTAAAGATAAAATGCTAATTTATTCACTGAATTAAACATACTAAAACAATATACTTTTCATAATTCTTTAAATTCAATTTGCTGTGATTAACACCTTAAGAATTACAGGCATTATAATTACAGTTTGACTCCCATTGCTGACAACTGCGGTGATGTAGAATGAGACAATGTACCATAAAGAGAACCTAGTTTCTTAATTGTCTTGAAAGTATCCCACTAGGTTTTGCATTTAATAAAGGATTTTGAGTGTTGAGCTGTGGAGTTGTGGATGCCTTGCTGAAAATGTTCAGTAAACAAGTAAGATCAGTTTTTAAAAAGCTAAAACATTTTCTTCTGTTGATATTTGCCTGTTATATCAATTAAGATTAAATTAAGATGACTATAAACTGCACATGCAAATTAATAGTGACAATCAAAAAAGAAATATTGGTAATATTTGACTCTCAGATAGAAAGTGTTGGGGCCCAGGGCAGTCTGCCCCCAAATATGCCTCAGTGGCATGTTGATTATTTTGAATTAAAGTTACTTTAGAAACAACTGGTGGAAAAAAATGATATATACTTAAAAAACACTCTGACCTCCCTCTTTTGCCCTAAAAGCTGAAAATAAATCTCCCATGTGAAGGTATCCTCCCTGTAGGAGGAGGATAGAAAGCATCCTTGTCAACAGTTAGGGAATTCAAGGCTAAGAAAGTTGTATAAGCAACTTTTGAAGTTACTACTTCACTAGTCTTCTACCCCAAACACAAGCCTCTTTGTTTTGTTAGATCTTGGTAAATAATTGTTTCTTTGTCTAAAAATGATATATAAATAGCTTGCTTTGGTCATTTCAGGGGTTTTGTATCTATAAGCGGGCTTCCCTGGTGGCTCAGTGGGTAAAGAACCTGCCTGCCAGTGCAGGAGATGCAAGAGACATGGGTTCGATCCCTGGGTTGGGAAGATCCTCTGGAGGAGGACACAGCAACCGACTCCAGTATTCTTGCCTGGAGAATCTCATGGACAGAGGAGCCAAGGGGTCTACTGTCCATAGGGTCGCAAAGAGTCAGACACGACTAGAATGACTTTGCATGCATACAGCGTATCTATGAGACCTCTGTGCATTCAGCTGGTTCACTTCTCCTGATAATCTGCCTGGCGTCAATTTAATCATTAGACCGAGTTGAAGTTCTCTAGATGGTTAGCGGGGAGAAAGCTTCCCCTCCCCAGTGGGAGATAGGCATTCTGGTGTGTCTGTAGTCAAGACGGACATGTGCTTTGTCCTCTCCTCCATTCTGCCGACATTTTCATGGTCCTGGGGATCTGCCAGAGCTCCCGCCATTACATCAGTGTTCCAGGCATCAGAATGGAGGAAGGACTGAAGAAGGGCTTGCCTTCCTGCTTTTGAGAATCTTCCTAGCAGTTATGTAGAATGCTTCCATTTGTTTCTTTGGTCAAACTTAAGTCACCTGACCTTGCCAACCTACTAGAGAGACTAGAAAATGTGGTCTCAGCTGGGCAGCAATGACCCTTAAAAAATGCGAAGTTTTCATTACTCAGAAAGATAAGAGAATGGTCATGAGAGGCAATGTGCAGTCTCTACCCCGCCTGGGTCTCTGCACATTTTAATTAAGGGAAAAAGGTGTGTTGTTGGCTTAGATTCCCCAGCGTTTTCAGTCTTCTCACTCCTACCGTCTCAGGACATCTTAGTCATTCTCTTCATTTTATCTACCACCAATGCCCATGATTCCCAAATCTTTTCTCTCAGCTCATATTGCTTTCATGGGCTCCTTAAGTTCAGCATATCAGGAGCTAATTTTCTTCCTTTTTCTTTCTTCACATTTGCATCTTCACTGTGACACTGCCTCTGTTCGATCTGCCAGTTCAGTTCAGTTCAGTCGCCCAGTTGTGTCCAACTCTTTGCAACCCTGTGTACTGCAGCATGCCAGACTTACCTGTTTTATCACCAGCTCCCGGAAATTGCTTAAACTCATGTCCATCGAGTTGGTGATGCCATCCAACCATCTCATCCTCTGTGACCCCGTCTCCTCCTGCCTTCAATCTTTCCCAGCATCAGGATCTTTTCCAGCAAGTCAGTTCTTTGCGTCAGGTGGCCAAAGTATTGGAGTTTCACCTTCAGCATCAGTCTTTCCAGTTAGTATTCAGGACTGATTTCCTTTAGGATTGACTGGTTTGATCTCCTTGCAGTCCAAGGGACTCTCAAGAGTCTTCTCCAACACCACAGTTCAAAAGCACCAATTCTTCGGTGCTCAGCTTTCTTTATAGTCCAGCTCTCACATCCACATATGACTACTGGAAAAACCATAGCTTTGACTAGATGGACCTTTTTGGCAAAGTAATGTCTCTGCTTTTTAATATACTGTCTAGGTTGGTCATAACTTTTCTTCCAAAGAGTCTTTTAATTTCATGGCTGCAGTCACCATCTGTAGTGATTTTGGAGCCCAGAAAAATAGTGTCTCACTGCTTCCATTGTTTCCCCGTCTATTTTTCATGAAGTGATGGGACCGGATGCCATGATCTTAGTTTTCTGAATGTTGAATCTTAAGCCAACTTTTTCACTCGCACACCTGGTGGCTGATGCCGGCCGTTATTTGGAACTTACGTCAATTGGAACACCTCCTTGTCCCCTCTTCAGGTGTCTGCTTGTGCTTCCTCACAGAATGGAGGTGGGGTGACCAGCAGTGTCCCAGAAGAGACAATATGTGGAAGCTGCCATTTTCCTAAGGTTGGGCCTAGAAACTATGCCCTGGTGGTTTGTCAGGCAGCACTGATAATATAGTAAACTGGAAAGGAGATGCAGAAGAAAATGTGAATCACCATGTCATTCCCTTGTTTACATGGATGGACTGTCATGATCTAAACTCTTCTTGCCCCTCCAGCCTCATCTCTTAATGCTCTCTACCTTGAACTTTATGGTCGTGAGTTGTATATGATTCACTTATTCTTTTCTCTTATGCTTTACTTGTTTGTCTCCTCTGTTTAGACACCTCTAATCCCATGCCTCTACCTGTTAACTTCAGCTGATCCTTTCATTTTTATCTTGGGTGTCACTCATACCAGAAACCCTTCTTGAATTCTTCCTGGATGGGTTAAATGTTCCTCTTAAGGTTTTGGTAATGCCTTGCACGCATCTATTACTGTCCTGACCCCAGTGGCCTTCCTGAAAGCAAGGGCTCTCCTTATTCGTCTTTGTATCTAGCACAGTGCTTTACACACAGTCCATTCTCTGTCATATTCTTGGATGCATGAATAGTTGATAATTTAATTTACTTTCATATCAACGTTATGGTCATCATACTCTAAAGCATTCATGCTACACTAAGTATTCCCTTTTTGCAGTGATAAAAAGCTGAGGAAAGAACTAAGTCACATATTTTCTTGGTGATAGGATTAGGAGTAATTTCTCATGTGCTGTTCTAGGCTTTGATTCTCTAACGTCACAGATGCTCTGTTAAAAGCACTTTCATTTTTGCTAAAATTTAAGTTCATTTTCTTAACTTTTAATTTTGTGGGAAAAGAAATTATTATCTCCAGGAAAAATTATCACATTCTTTGGAGATACATACTTCTAAAATTTTAGATGAATTTGTGAAAGGAGTAGAAAGGTAAAACGATACATCCAGAAAATTCTGAGTGCTTTACTAACTAAAAAGTATAATTTCTCCATCTACAAAAGGAAAAGTAAATAATACCTCTGATCACTTCCTCAGAGTAGTTTTTGCGGAGGTAAATGAAATATACTAAGAAAATCTGAGCTCTATAGAAGATAAAGTTATCTGTTGTAATTTGAGGATTTGTAGGTCCTTGTTGACATCCTCTGTCTTAATCAGGAAGTTCTTGGAGCTGATGTTCTTATTGTATATGGTGTCTGGTAATGTGCTACGTTGATGTGAGGGATATGGGGAAAGCACGCATGCTCGGTTGCTAAGTTGTATCCCACTTTGTGTGACCCCAGGGACTTCTCCTTTGAAGGAGGCAATGGCAACCCACTCCAGTATTCTTGTCTGGAGAATTCCACGAACAGAGGAGTCCATGGGGTTGCACACAGTCGGACACGACTGAGCAGCTAACACAGACACGTGGACTGTAGCCCGCCAGGCTCCTCTGTCCATGGAATTCTCCAGGCAAGAATACTAGAGTGGGTTGTCATGCCCTCCTCCAAGGAATCTTCCTGACCCAGGGATTGAACCCACGTCTCTTATGTCTCCTGCAATGGCAGGCAGGTTCTTTACCACTCATACCACCTAGGGGGCTTCCTAAGTTGACTCTCCAAATATTTGGAGTTAATCCTCCAAATATTTATTGTGATCATTCTGTGCTACACAGTATGCCTGGGGCCAGAGAAAGTGACCTTGAACTTGAATATTCCATTACAGGGTTCCCTAACAGCCAGGGTTGCCTTAGATAGCTTACTGTGTTTGTAACTATTGTTTGTACAACTGCCATATCCTTGGAGGTTAAATCCTGGTCTGAGGGTTCACAGCTACCTGTGCTGAGTACTGCCTGCTGATAGGTGGGGACAATGAAAAGCTTGCTCTGGGGGCAGGATTTCAGTGTATTTGAAGAGCAGATGGACAACTTTTATTTGGTGTGAGGATATTAGGATAATACCTCACGAGATGGTGAATGACAGGGAAACCTGGTGTGTTGCAGTCCATGGGGTCGCAAAGAGTTGGATTGGACTGAGCGACTAAACAACAACTGATTAGATAGGAGATGGGAGTGAAAAAGTTGAACAGCAAAGCCAAACCAAGAACAGGGAACCTAGAAAATTATAATAATTGATTGTAAGAGCAAAGCTCAGCTGAGGAATTTAGACAGTAGCTGGTCAGAGTAAGAACTAGATAAGAGAAGTCACAGGAGTCAGAATCTCAGAGGCATGTTGTGCCAACAGCTTACCTGGAGACAGAGAAACCCTTTTAAGATGGAGAACCAGTGCTTTCTGTAGGACCATCTCAGTCATGATGGAACTCTCCATCTGCTTGTTGGGGTGTGTTATAGGTAAGGATGTGGATGTTCAATGTGCCTCCCACCCCATCTCGCTCATTGAACCCTCTTTGGTACCATATACAAAGAAAGCATTTAACACAGTTTATCACAAGTATATATTTTTTCTTCAGTCTCCTCTACTAGACAGTAAACTCTTTGAGGACAGGAATTGTGCTCAACTTTTTTCTTTCTCACATAAATTAGCACAGTGCCTGACATATAATGAGAACTCAGTACAGGTTGGATGAGTGAATGGGTGGGAGAGTGGATGGAGAGAGGGAAGGATGGATGGATGGATGGTTTGATGGGTTGGTAGAGGGGTGGCATCTGTGTAGTCTGTTAATAGAAATAAGGATTAAACATTCTTTCATTCAGGGAAAAAAGGTAATGAAGGGCTTTGTTTCCACAACAAATGGAACAATAGTTTGAGGGGATGCATACAGTCACATTTATGGAGAAAATCTAGGAAGTGATGAGAATGTAGTACTTGCTCCCATTATATTCAGTAGAGACCCTTAAAAAGTGCAAGTAATACTTTTAAAAGATTTTTTCATAGCTTTATATCTATTTTTTATTTCTAACTTCTATTTTACCTTATTATCACCAACCAAAATTGTACCTTTAAAATGAAAAATTAGAGTGCTGTTACAGGCAATAGTAAAGTGACCTTGAGCAAATATTATACTATCAGATTTTAACCTAGGATGATTAATATAGAAATGAAACTGTATCGTATCATGTTGGTCACTCAGTCGTGCCCAACTCTTTGCAAGTCTGTGGACTGTAGCCCGCCAGGCTCCTCTGTCCATGGGATTTCCCAGGCAAGAATACTGGAGTGGGTTGCCATTTCCTTCTGCAGGGGATCTTCCCAACCCAGGAATCAAACCTAAATGGCAGCCCACTCCAGTACTCTTGCCAGGAAAATCCCATGGACAGAGGAGCCTGGCAGGCTACAGTCCATGGGGTCACAAGCGGCAGACAGGACTGAGGGACTTCACTTTCACCTTCACTTCCTGCGTTGCAGGCAGATTCTTCACCAGCTGAGCTCCAGGGGAGCCCACAGGGAATGCTTAAACTGTAGACTTGTCTCATAATTAAACTTCACGTGAAATTTAGATTTAAATAATAGTATTTATATAGATTACAAATTCCACAATCACACGATCATGACAAATAGATTTCTATGTTGTATGATACAGTGCTTAGAAAAAATAAAACTGATTTTCTTCCTAAAAATTCTTTTAAAATATCCTCTATTTTCTCTTTTTTGGGTTTCCAATTAGGTGGAGATTGGAGATTTTGAAAGACCTTTTTCCACTCCAGCAGGTCATGTTACTAATCAGTGCAAAGCAAATCAAACTCTAAAACAAGTCATAGAGAAATTTTATCCTAAAAGGTATAGAGATGACTCTTCTGAAGAACAGCTAAGGTAAAGAACTATTTAAAGGGCACTAGTTTTTCAGTGATATTTTTCTATACAAAATTTTTTTTCTTCTCATTAAACTTTTTTTAATGCGTCTCAAATTCTGTGACAGATTTTTGGTCAAGTTGTTTTCATTAAAAAGTACTGATAAAAACTAATAACTTAAACTACCACACACAAAACATATGGTCCACAAAAACATTCTCCTTTCCTTCTGAAGGTTTTACAATGCATTGTTATCATTAAAGATGAAAAAAATTATATGTAACGATTTGCTCAAGATTTTTAAAGTACTGTTGAATACCAAGAGGTTATAGTTCTTTTTATTTGAGATGTGTCTGGAAACTTTAGTAGCTAGATTTAAACTTTTTCAATAAGAAAAAAATCTGCCTTAAGATTTTCTTTTTATTTGATCTTATTCATTCTTGTCCAAATTAGTCTTGCTAATAAATAAAAGGAAAATTTGGCTAATATGTTTAATTTTATGAAATGTTTACCAAAAATTTTTTACCTCTTAGGGTATTACATTATAAACAAATTGGAATAAAAATAAAGTATTTTCTTACAGAAAGTTTTTTTAATAAAAAATTTTAATTCCACTCTACTAATTTGGAGTTTTGATTTTTGAAAACTTATGAAGAAAAGGCATAGATTCAAAAATAGAGGCAAATCCAATTCACTATGAAGTTTTTTAAAACAGAAACATTTGTGATTAGTCTGTTGTCTCTGTAGAATAAGTGGTTGCCTTCATGATTTTATTTAAGAGGTTTCCCCTGCACCCAGCATCTCTGAGCCAGGAGTGGTAGCACCTAAATTCCACCGTTGGGGAGTCATTCTTAAGTCTCCAATTCTTGTACTTCTTTAAAAATGAAAGTTATTCCCATGAGATTCTAGGCTAATTATGCAAAGGTTTGATGTTAGCTTATCAGATTTTAAATTTTTACCTGAAGGGAGTGGGGAGCAGGGAACCTAGGTCATACTGAGAGCACTAACAGATAGGGGAATTTGGTGAAAGGAATGCTACACAAGGGACAAGGGGTGGACAGTGGTAAGAATGGGTGCCACTAAACCACCCTGGGTAGGTCCCCCCTGGGGAGCGTCCCCGTGAGTAGGTCTCCCAGTGGTGTCTAGGATTGGCTCAACAAGAGCTTTATCCCGGGAGGATGATACATTGTTTGTGTTTTTCTTTTGTGTTTTTGTTCATTTTTTGTTTTTTTAGGCAGCTTTGCCAGCGACTGTCAACCAGATGGATGGCCCTCCGAGGACACAGTGCTGCTGACTGTGTGCGAATCTATTTGACAGTCGCCAGGAAGTGGCCATTCTTTGGTGCCAAATTGTTTCTTGCAAAAGTAAGAAATGGTAGGGGGAGGCTATCCAGTTTAGTAGAATATAAAGTGATAACCGTGACCCCAGGTTTAGTATATTCCACTTTTTAAAGGAAAATAAGGGAATTTCCAACAATAGAAAGAAAACCATGACAGGACACTGAGGAAAGAGCAGGAAAGCCATCGGTATCTCTGCCTTTTCCCTTCTGCTCCCATGTACCCTGCCAAAATAATTTCTTACACTCAGAAGGCTTAATCAGTAGACTGAAGACAGCCCCTCAGCTCTGCTTTCTTCTCTTTATTCATTCATCCATCCACTCATTTACTCTCTCACTCATTTGTATTATTTGGTAATTATGAATTTTGTTTGCCAAACACAGAGCTGAGCTCTAGGGATACAGAAGCCCATAGTTTCAGATAAGTTATTCTCACACTTTTCAGGAACTCAAAACCAGTGTTGCAATAGGTCTGGAAACCACTGATGGTTAAGATGACATGACCCTGAGGAAAGAGAGGCAAACTCTGCTAGGGGTTAGGTTAAGTGGCCTGTCCAAATACACATGTTAATAAATGACAGATGTGGGTCTCAAACCCAAATTCAAGACTCAAATTTGGGTCTCCTAATTCACTGTTCTTTCCATTATACCACCCTGTCTACTCAAGTGAGATTTTTAATAATAAGATGTTGTTGCTGTGGTTCTTAGAAATGTTGTACTGCATTTAGACTAAAACATTTTTGTAATTTTGCTTAGCATCTATTATATAGTATATTTTCACCTCTTCATAGCCCATAACCCCATCATCCCTTGGAAGTACGTTCATGTGGCTGGCTATACATGAGGATGGTTTAAGCATCTTAGAATACAACTCCATGGTAAGATTAAATCCTTAAGTTTTGCATTGAGTCAACTATTTCCATTGCTCAGTGTGCCTTAAACAGAAGGTAATGATACCTTAATCTTATTTTTCTTATACACAAAAAAATATCCTTCCTAATACTATATCATGAAGTCATTTTATAGATACAACCATTATTACAATTTAATCTTTTAAAACAAGATTAGACAGGCTATGTATTATGTATGAGAAAAATATTAAGATACCATGACTAAATTGCAGTCACAGTTGTATTTGTAAAATGACCACTTATTTATAGTGTTCAGAAGATGGCTTCCTGTGTAAAATAACATTAAGATAACGTATGTCTTGAAGATAATATTAAGGTATAACATTAAGATATAACATTAAGACAACATTAAGATATCTCTTGAAGATAACATTAAGGTAGAAACTTTAGTTAGCAAAATTTTAAGTTCAGTTTCACTGAAGCTTCTGTAACAATTTCTATACTTTGCCATAATATCACTTATGCATTCACTTGTACATATACAGTATCTTAGAGTTATTTACATGATTAATTATAAAGTCAAACTGTGATTTTTATTTATTCATTTGTTTATCTGAAATTCACTTTATTTTCTATCATATTTTATATATATCAGATTACTTTTTAAAAAATCTTTTTTTAACCTGGTGGACAGGGATTGCTCAATTTACCTGGTAGGTATAGTGGGCTCTCCTACTTGTGGCTATAGTCAGGATCACTGAGAATTTCTTGGAAATGAGACTATCCTGTAGTGTTTTAATTACTGTTTCTCCTTAAAACTGTTGAAAACTCTTTTGAAGGTGTTTATATTTCTTGAATGGGCTTCCCCATGGTTCAGTGGTAAAGAATTTGCCTACAATGCAGGAACCACCGGAGACATTGGTTCAGTCTGGGTCGAGAAGATCCCCTGGAGGAGGGCATGGCAACCCACTCCAGTGTTCTTGCCCGGAGGGTCCCATGGACAGAGGAGCCTGGCACGCTACAGTCCATGGGGTTGCAAATAGTCAGACATGACTGAAGCGACTTAGCACGGCATGGCATGTTTCTTGAATGCCTTTTAGTTCTTGAATAAATAATCTGAAGATAGATTATAAAGCCAGTGACTTAAAGTCAACAAAAATTTTACACCAGTATTGAGTTACCTTGGCTAAGTAAACCAGTTTGTTGATTCTGAGATATGGACATACAGACCAGAGATTGACACTGCTGGCCTGCTACAGGGGAGGTGTCTAGTACTGGGATGATCTGCTCCAGGTCTTGCAAGCTAATCATTAAATACACAGATTCCTTTCCTTTTAGGCATCTTTGAATTATATTTTAAAAATTGTTTCAGTAACACATTGGGAAAAAGTATCTGCTGCATGTATGACAAAGAATTATCCTTTAGGAACGTGGATGTCTTTCCAGATAGTAAAGAAATGATGAACATAGCAATAGACAAATGGGCTAAGGCAGTTCACAGAAGAAATACTAATATTCAGTAAATGTATTTTTAAATGTTAATCTCACCATCAATCAAGTAAATTCAGTTTAATACAGTGAGATTCTACATGTCACCAATCAGATTGGCAGAGCTTCAAACAAATGATGGTATCCTGTGTTATCAAGACTGCAAAATGCTGGAAATGTAAATGGGTATAATGTTTCTGAGTTTCAAAAGGTTTACTTTTTTGGGATAGCAATTTTAGCTGTTGAGGTTTATAACCATAGAAATAATTATTCTAAGGGTATTATGAAATGTGTCCCAAAATATTCATTGGAGTAAGATAGTAACAAAAAATTTAAATATTCTTCAATAGATTAGTTAAATAATGTCTGTGTCTATAAAATCTAAATAAATGTCTATAAAATCATTTAAAATGATTTTATACAATAGCAAGTATGTTCAGTGTCATGGAAAGATGTTCATAACATGCTATTAAGTTAAAAGAAGCAGAAGGTTAAAAAAGAAATAGTATGCTTGATACTGGTTATGTTTACATATATCAAGATCTGTTTATCAGGGTGAACTACATGGATTTGCCAATATTTGACCATTTTTTACCTTAAAAAAGCATCAGGTTCATATGGTTCAACCAGATAGGTAGGTAGGCAGGCAGATAGACAGAAATCTTTAAGGACAAATACAGTGTAAATGCTACGTAAATAGTTACTGGTACACAGCAAATTCAAGTTTTGCTTTTTGAAACTGTATAGAATTAAAAATATTTTCCATCTACAGTTGTTTTCCATCTGTATCAGCATCTTAATGGAGATATATGTTATTAATCATCTCTCATCTTTCTTTGAAAATAGTGTATAACATATTTACTTTTTTCTTCTCTTTGAAGAGGTTAATAGTCAGCTATGTATACAAGAGTCTAATGACCTTTGGAGGTTATCAAGATGATTTTATGGTGGTCATTAACAACGCACATTCAAAAGACAAACCAACAGAGAAATTGATTTTTGCTATGGCAAAACCCAAGGTGAGTAGAAGCCTTTATGCTAACTTTTTTATGCTAGTTTTTCTCACACTAAAATATTAATTGTGAGAAGACTTAAATTCTTGATGGGAAAACAAACTGCTTATAATCATACAGTCATAGGTCCAAATTTTGGCTTACATCTCCCTAAGCCTTGGTTTCTTCATCTAAAAAATGGTATAATGTTCCTTTTTTTTTTTTTTCTGAATTAAGAATTAAATGAGGGAATCATGAAGTGTTTAGCCCAGACTTTCCTGGTAGTCCAGTAGTTGGGAGTCTGCCTGCCAATGCAGGGGACATGGGTTCAATCCCTGGTCTGGGAAGATTCCGCAAGCTGTGGGGCACCTCAGCCCATGCTCCATGACTATTGAGCCCGTGCTCTGCAAAAAGAGAAGCCACGGCAACAAAAAGCCCACGAAGCCCAACCAGAGATTAGCCCTCACTTACCCCAACTAGACAAAGCCCATACAGCAGCAAAGATCCAGCACAGCCAAAAACTAATTAACTAATTAATTTTAATACCTAAAATGTTTAGCTCAGTGCCTGGTATACAGAGAGATCAAAATAACTGGTCCTGCCCTAAGTTGTTATTGTCAGGTATTTTATGTGCATTATCTTATTTACTTGGAATAATTCACTTAATGGACTCATTAATGAGAAGAGTGAAGTTTTAAAATTGAGACATACTTGTTTCTTTACAATTTTAACAAGCTATGTAGTTTTAATGTCTCTAAGTAACAGCAATAAATAAAAGGGCTGCATTCTAACATGTGATTCCAATTTTAGGGAAAAGAATGAGAAACTAATTTTTCTAAAACTTTGTCTTAAAATTATCAACTAAAAGAGACTACTTTTTTAGAATCTGAAGCTTTAAAAAATGGCATATATGTTTCTTAATTAAATCTATATTTAAGTGAAGGTGGATAGTAAGTGCAGAAGATCATGGCAAACTTCAGTTTAAATAAAGAGTTAATATAATACACTGAATTTCTTATTCATGTATTCACAAGTATGGCTATTTAAGATAACTGACAGAATTGTACTGTTGTCACATTTCCTAATATTGCCACTAAATTTGATTTTTTTTTTAAGTACCACTTTCTCCTGGTTTAAGTTATGGAAAAATAGATGGTGCTGAACGTGTAAGTACAGTTGACTCAAACAATACAGGTATGAACTGCACGGGTCCACTTACACATAGGTTTTTTTTCAATTGTAAATACTATATTAGTACACGATCCATGGTTAGTTGAATCCATGGATGTGGAACTATGGATACAGAGGAACCGTGTCTGCAGAGGGGCACTGCAGAGTTACACACACATTTCTGACTGCTCAGAGTGTCAGGGTACCTAAGCCCTGTGCTGTTCAAGGGTCAGCTGTACTCCACTGTTTGATCTGGTTGAAAGGGAATTCTGGTGGCCTGGGCACTTGCAGATGGAGAGCACTCATGGCCAACCCTTCACTGTCTTTTGAAAATGATGAGAACTTCTCAAGAGGATAACAATTCCACTTTTCTTGTTTTAGATTCTTGAAATCACCCTTTTGATCGCCAGCTACATAAACAACTTCTACCAGCAAAAGGCGGTTCACCACCTCTCTGCTCCAGCGCTGCTCTCAGCTCAGACCCAGGGTTTCCAAGCCAGGGTGATGGGAAGCCAGCCCCTTCTGGCAAGCAGCAGACCAACCAAAGGCCCCACTTTGCTCTGAAAGCTCAGGGGCCTAAACATCTCCCCCTGTCCTCTAAGCAATGGCTGCATCAGCTCCAAATAAGTTCATTTACATCCTGGCAGCATGACACCCACACCGTAGTAGTCCATTCTTTAAAAATAATGGGAGTTACTCTCTTCCATTTGATTCATAAGTATTCAAATAAATGCTTGTAATAAAACTTAAACACACACACACACACATAAAACCTAAACAGATTTTCCCACATGCTGATTTTCTTTTAGCTTAGCTGGGTTAGAATTTGCCATTTTTTCCCATCACCTTTTCCTTTGCCATCAGACACATCAAGCCTTTTTTTCCCTTAAAAAAAATATTCTAGCAATCTTTAGAAAGGGAGATTCAAGGGAATTTTGCCAAACTCTCATTTGGCAAACCAGTTGATTATTTGGACATGCTCACTGCCAGAAAATTATGTACTATAATTAAATGTGCTTTTAATTAATGATACGGTGTTTAGAAAGAAGTAGAGTATACAGTTTAAGAAGCAGCTGCTGGGTGGTGTTGAAGGGTAAGTTTTTAGTTCTATGAATCACTGTGTGAAAAAGCAGGCGCTAGGTAACCAGAACCTCCAATGTGGTTTTAGAGAGTATACCCTGTCACCTTTTCAGATCACTGGAGTGTAAAACTTAAAATGAAACATTGATTCCTGACATTCCTTGGCTATCAACATAACCCAAGTTCACTGGAATATTGCCCACATTTCATTCCATTGGTGCTGGGTCATCTTGACCTTGCTTTGTTAAATAATAATATCTTTGAAAACAAAGAAATTTTAAAGCTTTGCTTCACACAGTCTTTTAAATTGTAGTTTGAAAATAAATTCCCCAAAATATTTTTTTTTAAAGAAAAGAGAAAGTAACTCTTCTTCAAAGGAGATAAATTTTAGTTGAGTCTAGAAACCTATTGCTTTCCTAGGTTACATAAATGGTCAGTACATTCCAGTTTGTGTCAAAATAAAGTACTTATTATTATTCATGATGAAAATGAAACTGTGATAAGACATGAAAATTATATTGTAAAAATGTTTAATTGAAATAGTAATCAGGAGTATACTTAATTTTATTTATGTGTAGAATATTTTTTATTTATATTTTGGACATATATTTATCACTTTGTGTATGGTATTTTTTTAACCAGTTGGGGAAAAACAGTTAGCTGCTGAATTAATTTGTTGGCGAGCCTTCTTGTTTTCTTTTTTGCTGCTTTCTCCCTGTGGCAATGTACTGTTCTCACACTAAGCCTTTTAAAAACGTTCCATCCTACATCAGCATCCTTAGAAAGAGCAGAGCCAAGAAATACACTGATCAAGTAAGATTGTGCGTTATTGGTAATGACAAAGGTCGAAACCGCCCAGAGAAATACATTGCTATTTACTGGTCCTCCTAATCTTTTGAGCCACAGCCACTCACTGTGTAAGCAAATTAATTTTTGAGAATAAACTGGTCACCAGTTTGGGATGACTCTCAGGCACCTTTTGGCTGGGACACGGTAGAGTTTCTAAGTTCCCAGAAAACCATTTAATAATCGTTAGTTGGTGAGCCAGAGGCTTGGCAGAGCTGTTACATATGTATGAGGACTTTATTCTCAGGCAGTAGTTAGTTCACCATGTGGTAAGCACCCCCCTAAAATCTTCTAATTTAAATGAATAGTGAAGGCTTAGCTTAAATGGTAGTACCCTAGACTTGGCATTTATTTTTGATAGAGCAGAGATAAAATATTTTGATGGAAAGAAATCAATTTTCTGTAACTGATGATGTGAAAATTTTATTTTCTGGGAAATTACTTTTATATAGCCATTTAAAAATTCAAAGTATGTTATTATGATTGGTTACAAGAGAATAATGTTACATGTTTAATTGTAATATTTGTCTCCTATCATTTTCCTCCCTTTCAATCATAATAAATGATTTACAAAACCCATTTCAAGCATTATCTTTTGAATAATCTTCAAGAAATACCTAATGTTTTCATTGTCAAAGCTGAAGGGTACTACTAGTGAAAATGGTAGTTATTACCTCCTTCTGCACTCATGCTTTGTCTTTGTTGCTTTGCTCTATCTCTATAAAAAGCAGCTGTTTGGACAAATTGTAACTATCATATATATATGTGCTTATTGACATATATACAATATGTATAAATCATGAAGTTCTCCCATGACTTCATAATAAGCCGCTTATAGGTAAGTTGATTGGACTGTGTCTAAAATTTTATTTTAAATGTTCTAGATTTGTGTCTGTGTGTGTCCTTAAAGTCAAATACTGCCATAGCTTAGAAATGAATTTAACTCTCAATTTACAAGAAAAGTTAGTCACAACTTGCAAAGTCTTGGCTTGAAAAAAGTGTTTGTTAGTGGTTGTTTGGACATTTTTTTTCATAGGAAAAAAATACATGGTAGTCAGGTTCCTGGAACAATACTTGTAGCCCGTAATTGTACTGAAGCATAATTCTGAAGAATTAGCCGCCACGGATAATCATATTTTTCTAGAAAAAGTGTGTGGGATGCCAAGAACACATTTCGCCCACCCCACTCCCACCCCCGGCTGTCATGGAATTTGGACTTCTGAAAGCTGAGTCTCTGGGCTGATTCCTGCGGACCAAAGGCTTTGGGAATGTGGGGACTGAGGACGTGAAAATGAGGAGCTGGACTAACAAGGTGAAGCAGCTTTTCCACTAACTGGTTCATGCAGGGACCTCATCTCCCCTCATTTCCCCCTATTCTCTTTTCCCTAAAGGAAAAAAGGGATTTTACTGCTACAGAGTACTTCATTTAGCAGGAAATATTGCCAGTTTCCCTCAGAGAGGGAATGACTTGATTTTCTTAATGCTTGTTTGAAAAATTCCAGAGAAGGATTTTGATTAGCTCAACTCATGTTTAACTTTAAACACCCATATTAGGAGAGTGCTTAATTATTAAAACTCTATATAGTGGAAACTTAGGCAGTCATCAAAGCTATGTTTATTATGTGTTTTGAAAAATTGATACAGGAAAATACATGTTGAAATCAGAATGTTAATTATACAGTAAGACCTCAGCTCATAGCAAAAAAGATTAGAATGAAAAACATCAAAATGTTGTTGTTACTTCTGGCATTTGCTTATTACACCCTCTTTGTTTTTCCTGTATACTATTTTTCCCACAATAAGCTTATGTGACTTTGGAAAAAAAGGAAAATATATTAAAATTCTGTCACTTTCTGGGTTATTGTTAATAACCTCCATACACGACTTCCAGACTGAAGCATCCTTCACACAGCTACAAAAAATTATCTCACTGAACTAAGGTCTAGTCGTGTTGTTTTTATTGTTCAGTAGCTAAGTCATGTCCAACTCTTTGTGACCCCATGGACTGCAGCACGCCAGGCCTCCCTGTCTATCACTATCTCCCGAAGTTTGCCCAAGTTCAAGTCCATTGAGTTGGTGTTGCTATCCAACCATCTCATCCTCTGCCACCCTCTTCTCCTTTTGCCTTCTATCTTTCCCAGCACAAGGGTCTTTTCAGCTTTCAAACTGTGGTGCTGGAGAAGACTCTTGAGAGTCCCTTGGACAGCAAGGAAGTCAAACCAGTCTTAAATCAACCCTGAATTCTCACTGGAAGGTCTGATGCTGAAGCTGAAGCTCCACTACTTTGGCCACCTGATACAAACAGCCAACTCGTTGGGAAGGTCTAGTCATTGCACACCCTTATTTGAAATCTTATTTGGTTTCTAATAACCAATACAGTAAAATCCAGATTGCAGTTGGGCTACCAGATTGCAGGTAGCCCAATCTACCTGCCTAGTTTATTTTCCCACCTTAGCCCCACCAGACACTTCTACCCCAAACTATTCACAGGTCACCGAATATACTCTGCCCACACCTTTACCTTTTGCATATTTCTCATTTCATTCAGCAAGCAGCATAAAATTATCTCCTCCTCCATCACCACTACTGAAATATGAGTATTCTTGGGCTGATCCAGAAGAGAAGTTGTAATCTTTGTATACTCTTAAACAATTTTCATTACCCTGCAAAGTCACTTTTTATGGCAGAAAGTGAAGAACTAAAGAACCTCTTGATGAAAGTGAAAGAGGAGAGTGAAAAAGTTGGCTTAAAGCTCAGCATTCAGAAAACTAAGATCATGGCATCTGGTCCCATCATTTCATGGGAAATAGATGGGGAAACAGTGGAAGCAGTGTCAGACTTTAATTTTGGGGGCTCCAAAATCACTGCAGATGGTGACTGCAGCCATGAAATTAAAAGATGCTTACTCCTTGGAAGGAAAGTTATGACCAACCTAGATAGCATATTAAAAAGCAGAGACATTACTTTGCCAACAAAGGTCCGTTTAGTCAAGGCTATGGTTCTTTCAGTGGACATGTATGGATGTGAGAGTTGGACTGTGAAGAAAGCTGAGCGCTGAAGAATTGATGCTTTTGAACTGTGATGTTGGAGAAGACTCTTGAGAGTCCCTTGGAATGCAAGGAGATCCAACCAGTCCATTCTGAAGGAGATCAGTCCTGGGTGTTCATTGGAAGGACTGATGCTGAAGCTGAAACTCCAATACTTTGGCCACCTCATGCAAAGAGTTGACTCATTGGAAAAGACCCTGATGCTGGGAGGGATTGGGGGCTGGAGGAGAAGGGGACGACAGAGGATGAGATGGCTGGATGGCATCACCGACTCGATGGACATGAGCTTGGGTGGACTCCGGGAGTTGGTGATGGACAGGGAGGCCTGGAGTGCTGCGATTCACAGGGTCGCAAAGAGTCGGACACGACTGAGCGACTGAACTGAACTGAACTGGATGCGAAGAGCTGACTCATTGAAAAGACCCTGATGTTGGGAAAGGTTGAAGGCAGGAGGAGAAAGGGACGACAGAGGATGAGATGGTCAGATGGCATCACCAACTCAATGGACTTGAGTTTGGGTAAACTCCGGGAGTCGGTGATGGACAGGGAGGCCTGGCGTGCTGTGGTTCATGTGGTCGCAAAGAGTTGGACATGATTGAGCGACTGAACTGAACTGAACTGATGAAGACTCAGGATGCAAAAAAATAGAAAATAGAATTAGATCACCTTAATTAGATTCACCTTAATTAGATCAAGGTGAATCAAGTGACTCACTCCTAAATCAATGCTGGTGATTAAGGCCCAGCCAGATAAACTTCACCTGGTTACCATACTCACTCTTCAACCACCTGTTCCATTATCCAAACCATTATAACTTTAACTTGCTAATACTGTGCCTAGTCCACAGAAAACATTTGGAAAAATGTTACCTTCCATTATTGTTATCCATAGCAATAGGGCTTCCCAATTAACATGCAAAAGGCATATAAAGTTCCAGAACCCCAGCCATCAAGATTTATCACAATTTGTCCCACATCAGTTTGTGAGAGTATAGGTGGGCTAGCCCCAGGATATATAATAGACACCAGCCATCAAGATTTATCACAATTTGTCCCACATCAGTTTGTGAGAGTATAGGTGGGCTAGCCCCAGGATATATAATAGACAGTCTCTCCATGATGTATCAGCCTCCCTTGCCACCATACTTTCTCTGTTGAACTCCCCTCCATTACTTCCCTTCCTATGTGTAACTGTAGTCTTTTGTGTCTCCAAAATGCACCTAAGTATTGGGAGAATTTTGTCCCCAAAGATTTTATCAGAAGTTAATGCCTTTTATTTCCATCTGCTTCATTTCCTCGTGTTTCTTCAAAGCTGCTGATCATCCAGTTACCTTACCATAACAGGTATTAAGCACTTAAAACAGTGTTTCAGACACACATAAGTTATGTTTTACATATATTTCTCATTTAAAACTCAAATTTTTCCCTGCTTTACCAGATTGGAAGCTAAGGCTCAGAGAAATTGAGTAATTTATCCCTAGTGGCAACTTAGTGTGGCTGAGTCAGGACTTCAAACTATCTTCCTCCAAAGTTCATATTCTTGAACATCACGCAATAGAGACTAAGCAAATGGCAGAACAGTAGAGGGAAATTTCTCCTTCCAACAATCAGCTCATCTTAGGCTAGAGAGCCTGGGTCAGCATTCAAGACAGATCAAACACTCACTGCCATGAAAGTGTCACCAACTCCTTTAGGCCTAGTCACCTGTTCTTATGTAAACTGTACATCTCTGCAATAGTTTATATCTTTGGCTACCTTTAATTAGCTTGTGTGTCATATGGTAATATTAATAAACTCATTGTTTGTTAATGTTGTAAACTCATTGACTTGGATATAAGTAAATGAAGTATTACAGAGATGCATTTGCTTTATTAACTTATTAATAAACAATGTGCTGGGCTTCCCTGGTGCTCAGATGGTAAAGAATCCACCTGCCATGCAGGAGGCCTGGGTTTGATCCCTGAGTCAGGAAGATCCCGTGGAGAAGGGAATGGCTACCCATTCCAGTTTTCTTGCCTGGAGAATTCCATGGACAGAGGAGGCTGGCGGGCTAGAGTCCGTGGGGTCGCAGAGAGTCGAACATGACTAAGCAACTAATATTTTCTCTCACTTTCAAACGATGTGCTTTTCTACGAAATCTGAAACAACCAAACAAACAGAAGGGTGGAAAATACTAAAATCTTTGCCTCTAGTAAATCACTAGAAAACAGCTCAGGAGATTGTTTCGTCCTCCACTCCCAAATCACTGTTATTGGGGAGAGAAAAGTAATTGAAGACAGAGACCCCTGGCATATAAATAGTCGGTACTCAGGAGAATATTTTTTAAATAAAAGAACACTTCCGGTCCAGAGTTTTTTAAGTCTCAGATTTACTGCCTCGAGTCTCCTCTCCCATCCAAAACGTCTCAGCTGAAGCTGAGACGAGAAAAGAACGCTGAAAACTACCTTTCCCATGATGCCTCTACTCCGCACGCAACCCGTGAGTGTGACGTAGCTACCATGGCAACGCAATACCCTGCCGCAACCCGGCCTCTCTCCGAGTTCGCAGTGCGGCTGATTCTAGGGTGGACCCCACGCGGCGATCAGGACTCTGGGGCGACCAGGCCACGATGCCCAGGTATCCCTGCAACCCTGCTTGAGCCTGGTTTATGCAACCCTCGAGAGTCTCCCTTCTTTCCCAACTCAGCCTGGATGGGGTGGAGGCGGGGAGCGGCGGTGGAGGGAGAGGCCGCTGCCAGTGTATTTGGGGAGAGGAGTTACACGCGAGACCCATTGTAGGTTCGTCCTGTTTGCAGTTCCTGTCTGGTTGGTCAAGGTGCTATTCTTGAGAGTATGGATTCTGCCAAAAGTAAGTAGAAAAGTTCCAGAGGTGGAAAAGTTAGGAGGTGTTGAAAGATGATTCAACTCCAATCATTCATTTCTTCAAAAAGTTTTTTGAGGGCCCGGGAATTTTCTAGGAACAGGGTTTCAGGCGGTGAGCCAGACCACAAACCCACTTCCTCAGGGACCTCCTGCCTGGGTGCAGGGGTTTACGACAAAGATAAAAGAGGGGAAACTAGTGAAGACACTGTGAAAAATGTAAGGTCACATTTTAAGGGGAGGGGGTGGGATTTTAATCACCTATCGGATACATTTTAGCTCTTCTCTATGATGTTTATTTTGTTACTTATTCTCAAGATCATGCCTAAGACTTCCCTGAACGACTTGTAAGTCGTACTGTACTGGAGTCCATCACAGAGCGAGATTTCTGTTTGTTTGTTTTTTTTCACATCGTGGATGGGCTGTGTGATCTCTCTTGAGTTTATGAACCTTAAGCTTCCCATCACCATAAAAGGTTACAACACCTCTTTCTCTTTACTGCTGGGAACTTGGAAAGGAGATAATCACATTATGAAGAAATGGGTGTAAGTGAAGAGTAAACAGGCCCAGACTGAGTTCTTAGGGGCTTGCCTGTGAAGTAAATGTGTGAATTTTAGTGCAAATCCCCCTTTTCCATTCCTGGTTCTTGAAAAATAATAATTATAAACACTCACTAATTTTCGGTGATTATATATAGGCCAGACCCTAACCTAAATGAATTATCACATTTTACAATCATGGCAATCCTATGAAGTTGGTGTTGTTTTTTAGTCAGTAGTTTAGAGGAGAAGAAACAAAAGTGAGCCTGGGGACTAGCACAGAAATGTGAGAATATTAGGTGCTCAATAAATATTTGTTGAATGAAGGATCCAGAGAGGTTAGGTAATTTACTCAAGTTGGCATAGTCTATGCAGAAAGTAGTAAGTAGATTCAGGCGGATAAAACATGAAATCTTACTCATATTTTTTAGTTCAGTACTCCATAATTTATTTAGGCTTTACTTAAAAAAAAAAATCTTATCTGTGTAGAGAGGTGAATGAAAGGATGATTTTCAAAAGGAATTTTAGGTGATTTTCTCCCTTCTTTATATTTTAAAAAAGGAATCTTGAGTCAAAAAATATGTAATTTAAAGAAACTGAAACTATTTCAGGTAGCAAAGGTAAACTGGTTTTACATGTTTCCCCCTTTTGCTAGATGTTGGCGGTTTTCTAGTTGTACGTTTGCAAAAGGCACTGTACCTTCATGTGTGTCTGAGAAGCTAACACACAGCTTTCAGCCCTGGCCAGGAGTCCCAGAATAAGACAACCTCACATCCTGGCAATAAAGTTTCTGTTTATCATTTTCTTCTTCCATCTAGTACACAGAAGATAACTAATCCTCCAAAGTTTCACCAGCTCACTGTCCTCCCCCACAAATGATATTTGTTTGTTTATAAATCTGATGGAAATGAAATTTCTCTGGGCTGGAAAGAAATTTTTGTAAGGATTCTTTTTGTCTTTCTGAATTTTGGTTATCTTTCTCTCATATAGTGAAACTCTCTGGGAAATTGCAAAAGCTGAAGTGGAAAAACGGAGAAGTAGTGGAAGTGAAGGTGATGGAGTTGAAGTTGGAGAAAAATCTGTTTTCTTCATTGGCAGTAAAAACGGGGTAATGCGTTTTTTCGTACTCTTTTCACCGCAAGTCTTGTGATGATTTAATAGCCAGTGGCAACATTTATTTTAATACTTTGGTAAAAATTTAGGTATTTCAACTCTAACCAGATGACCAAGCTCCAGCCTGCTGGTTACTTTAAATCTGGTTGGGCCCTGCTCATGGAAGGGTGGGAACTAACACACCCAACCTGCCTCTTCTTATCAAGTGGTGTGTCCTGACCTGGGCCACAGGAACCCAGAGGAAGGGGTACTTGTTTCTGACTAGGTAGCCCAGAGGAGTCATCTTTTCCCAGTTTGCACAAAAGCACCATAAATACTATTCTAATGGTCATATTTATAGATAACTTGTATAGCTAAAACAAGCATATATATATATTAAAAAACATGAACCATATAGAGTATAATTTGTTTACTTTCACTTATCTTAAACTAGTGTCACAGAAATGGAAAGAATCCTGGAGATAGTCTAGTCTTCTGCAATAGGAATTCTTACCCTGGGATCAATGGAATTACTTTTTGGGGTCTATGAGCTCCCTAGAAATGTATGCAGAATTGTGTGTGTGCACTGGTGTTTTTTTATGGGAAATTAGATTTCCCCAGAGTTCTAGTACCTCAGCAAAAGGTTGAGAGCCATTCCAGACAGTGGTTGTATAGTCTAGGTTTGAATATTTCCAACAGTGGGGATGCTCTCTTTCACAAGGCAGCCTGTCTTAGGTAACCTCTCACTTTTGATCTTTCACTTTGGAGGAAGCAAGCTGTCATGTTGTATGCAGGTCCAGTCCACATGTCAAAGAACTAAATCCTGTGGCCAAGAGCCAGCAAGGAACTGATTGCCTCTTGCCAGCAACCATGTTAAGGAGCTTGAAAAATGATTCTCCAGTTTGGTTGAGCCGAGAGATAACTTTCGTCCCAAATGACATCTTGACTACAACTTTATGAAAATTCTTAAGCCAGAACCATCCAACTAAGGTACTCTCAGATTCCAGATTCTGAGAAACTGGGTGAAATAATGGCTGTTGTTTTAAGACTTGATAAGTTTGGGAGTAATTTACTATGTAGCAATAGATAACTAATGCACATAAAGGCTACAGGAAATTCCCTGGCAGTCCAGTGGTTGTGACTTTCTGCTTTCACTGCCAACAGGACGAGTTAGTCCCTGGTCTGGAAATTGGGATCCTGTAGGCCGCATGGCCATGGCCAAAAAAAAAAAAAGTACATATAAAGACTAAGCAAATAAACAACAAAGAAGTTTTAAACTTTGGGGAAAAGTTATTTGAGAAAGGAAACAATCATACTTCTACAGTTGGCATGGCAGAAAAATAAAATACACTTAACATTTTTTTTTAAGATTATCCAAAAGATCCAAAGGTGTGTAAAGCAAAATAACAAGCCTCTGCACACAGTTCAGAACCTCTCCTCAAAGCCACCATTTTCATATCTTTTACTGTTTCTTCTATAATTGTACTTCTTTACTTCTGAATAATGTGCTTACGGGCTATTTCCATAAACACAATGTTAGACATTACCTGTTGAATCTCTGATAGAAGACTTATTTACTTCCACATCTCTCTCACACTTGCACTTCCAGTCAGGTTGTGGTTATTGTTTTGAGCTAACTCAGTGTTCAGGGTTAACTTAAGTATCTCTTTCACAAGTAGCTGCATGGCTACTGTCCCTCCCTAACATCTTGGGGATCCCCTTTGCATCTTTGTGTTGGAGCACCAGTTTCCTGGATCCTGTGTCTTTTTTTTTGTTGGTTTACTCAAGTATGCCTTTTTGAGTACATTCTTTTGTAGTTTCCTGGGAAAGTATACATGGGAAGTAAAATTTTTGAGGCCTTGCACATACATCTAAAATATCTTTATTTCACCCTCACTCTGGATTGAAAGTTTATCTAGGTATAGAATTCTAGGTTGGAATGAATCACTTAACCTCTCTCTAACCCTAGTTTCTGTGTGAGTCTGTTATCATCTCTTTTAGGAGTGACTGAAAACTCAATTCAAACTGAGTTAAACACTATCTTGAATACTTGATGTCCCCTACACAGTCACACTTTATCTGTATTCCTCTTGTGATGTGTGCCATTAGATATCATATGGTCAGGCTGCAATCTCCAGTATACTGTCACAAGTTTCATGTGTTCATTTATTTTCATCCAGATGCATTTGTTTATGCTGCCACCCCCTGCATGTTTGCCAGTTACCATACAAATACACAAAGTGTGCTGCGGTTTTCCTCCTCTTTTTATTCTTTACAGTGATACATTGCACTCACTCATGCCATAGGCTTTGGTAATATATAATGAGGTCATTTTGTTTTTCTGTGATAATATTGCACTTATTATTACTTGCACAGTTTTGCATCTGTGGCTGTAATGTATTATTCTAAGGCCTTGTCTCAGCTGCTTTGTCCTGTGAATTACATGGACCTTCTTCCATTATTCTCTTAAAATTTTTTTCTTAATGTCATACCTAATGACATCTCAGTTTATCTGGACCATTCTCTTTTGTTTTCTCTAATCTCATTTGATTGTCAAGTTTTTAGGCATGATCTTCTGATCCTCCTGACATATGTTTCATCTCTTATCAAGGTATAGTCATTCTGTGTGAACTACTATATACTGAATGGATCTACAAGGTCCTACTGTATTGCACAGGAATTGTATTCAGTGTCCCATAATAAAACATAAAGGAAAAGGAAAAAAATAAAGGTTGTAGAAAAATTTTTTTCAAACGGTTAATCATTCTAGTATTCTTAGACTGTGGCTCAGAAAACTTTATCACTGACTAGTTTTTCTCTTCCCAGAGCTTATTTTCTCACCCTATACCTCAGTCTCTAGGTGGTAGAAAAGAGGAAGGGAAGCTATCTAGCCCTCATGTTTTTGCTTTTCCAGTTCTCCATTGTCTAAGGTCTGGTTATTATCAGATCCTTTCCATGGTATTGTAAAGGACAGAAAATAGTAGGCACACATCTTCCACACACATCTTATCAATTATGTTCCCCTTTGCTGATCCTGAAGATGACTTCTGATCCACAGCATTCCAGGAAAGTGTTGGCAGTTGAGATAAAATCTGTTTGTCATTTCTTACTCTAGTAATGTCAGGTATCTCCACACAGATTAGCAGAAGTCAGCCGAAATCCATGGGCTGATGTGTGCACAGGTTTAGCAAACCCTTAAGATCAACAGAGAAATAATTTCACATAGAATACCACATTATATCTTTTGAGAAATTTAAGTATTGTGTACTGTAAGGGGAAGTTAGTTAAGAAAAATGTTGACTATAACATTAATGTTCTCACTGAGACATGATTGGAAAATACCCAGGTGAGAGAATTTTACATATGAAATAAGTTATTATTTTTATCACCTAGTATTAGGATAATTACATTTTGAAAATAATATTTAGACATCTTGTGCAAATTCATGGTCATGGAACCATTGAACTTGAAGTTAATGAGCTAAATTTATACTTAGCTAATACCATATTTCAACATTCAGAAAACTAAGATAATGGCATCTGATCTATGGCAAATAGATGGGGAAAAAGTAGAAGCAGTGACAGATTTTATTTTCTTGGGTTCCAAAATCACTACAGATGGTAACAGCAGCCATTAGAATTAAAAGACACTTGCTTCTTGGAAGGAAGGCTATGATATACTTAGCATATTAAAAAGCAAAGATGTCACTTTGCCAACAAAGGTCTGTATAGTCAAAGCTATGATTTTTCTAATAGTTGTATATAGATGTGAGAGTTGGACCATAAAGAATGCTAAGCGCTAAAGAATTGATGCTTTCAAATTGTGATACTGGAGAAGATCTTGAGAGTCCTTTGTACGGCAAGGAGATCCAACCAGCCAATCCTAAAGGAAATCAACCGTGAATATTCATTGGAAGGACTGATGCTGAAGCTCCAGTACTTTGGCCATGTGATGTGAAGAGCCAACTCAGGGAAAAGACCCTGATGCTGGGAAAGATTGAGGCCAGGAAGAAAAGGGAGCAACAGAGGATGAGATGGTTGGATGGCATCACCAACTCAAAGGACATGAGTTTGAACAAACACCAAGAGATAGTGAAGGACAGGGAAGCCTGGTACACTGCAGTCCATGGGGTCACAGGACTGGACATGGCTTAGCAACTGAACAACAATACCATATTTTGTGTGAATTAGTACTTATATTGATCTAGGAAAAATTATAGTAGTAAATATAATTTAAAATATTTTAACTATATTTTTATTTCATAACTTGACAATATTAAGGTCTTCTACCTCAATTGAGTATGAAAGCCAGGATCCATTTAAATATCTAAGTCAGCATCTAAGTTAATAAGTCATTATCTTAAATAATATTCATTTTTTAAATTCAGTTACTTCACTTTTAGGAATTTCATTTAAGAAATAATTGAATTGTGGTAGCTCAGACGGTAAAGAATCTGCCTGCAGTGCAGGAGACCAGGGTTCAATCTTTGGGTCGGGAAGATCCCCTGGAGAAGAGAATAGCAGCCCACTCCAGTGTTCTTGCCTGGAAAATTCCATGGAGAGGAGCCTGGTGGGCTACAGTCTATGGGGTCACAAAGAGTCGTACATGACTGAACGACTAACACACGCAATGATGTTTGTCACAGGGTTTCAAAGGGTTGTTTATTGTTGTGAAAAATAGGGGGGAAAGGACAGCATATCCATCAGAACACTTTAGTAGCAAGAGACCCTGGCCCACTCACTGTAAGTTTCTGTTGTTTAGCCAGGGATGCAAAAAGGGTTTGGAAGTAGCCATACAGAGCAGGAACAGATGTATCGTATCTTCATGAAACTTGGCTTGGATTACAAAGTTCTGGTCAGAGACAGAACTGCCGATGACACTGTCTAAAAAAGGTCGAGACTTGCAGATCCAAGATGCTGATATTCATTCTATTTGGGGTTTATATTACAGACCTTCCTTGACTTACGGTGGGGTTACATTGCCATAAATATTGTCAGTCAAAAAGTGCATTTAACA